CCCCCCCCCCCGGGGGTTTTTTTTTTTTTTTATAAAATAATTACCGTTTATCAAAACAGTCACTGACCAATTGTAGAATATTGAGAGAGCTAAATACGAGATGAAACATGTTAAAAGACAGAGACGCTGAAAAATCTGCCAAAAATGAGCAACAGCTGTCTTTAAACTAGGCAGAACTAGAAAAGCACTTAAGACCCAGACATCAAAAACGTTTTCACTCGATGACAAAATATTTTCTAGAGTGCAGGTACCCTTAACGAGAAAATTAGTTCCCGAAAGGATGGGTTGTTATTTGTCAGGAACGTTTAGAAGCTGACCAAAAGGTATTAGCTAATAAGTAGGCTGAAGTTCGTTCCTTATTTGTAGCTCCCTGCCAGGGGTTCAGGTGTGCCCTGAAAAGGGCTTACTTTTTTCTTTTAAGAGGTGCCAGACCTCTCAATCGGTATACTGAAAACTCATGAACTTTTAAACAGTTTTAAAAGAATTTTGTTGAAGAGGTTCTGGAACTCCATTACAGAGCTTTCCCCCAGAAAAAAAGTCCTGGCCCTGAATAACTGCTATTTGAGCATCTTTCATAGGTGTGGGATCCATAGCAGAGCCTCATCTTACATATGTACACTTATAAACACCTCCTCACAAGCAATGAGATTTCCATTACCCCTGGTGATCCACATATCCACACCAGTACCACCATGCTGCATGGTAAACAAGCACAGAGGATGTGCGAGAAAGTGTGTCATTTTCCCCTCCCCCACTATTTTACCTTTTGCTTTCCTGAGAGCCCCCACAGCCTCCCCTTTTCCCTGCTTCCTTCTCTCCTTCCCACCCACCAGCCAACCAATCTTTATCTGCTTCCTTGTCATCCTCCCTCCCTCGCTCCTCCCGGTAGCTTTAACTGAGGAAGAATATGGTCCCGTTTTTTGGTGCTGGCTGCTGGCCCAGCCCAGTTGCACAATGCCAGCCACTGACACTCTTAACAACTGCACTTTACTGGCTTTTAAAGGGTGGGGACTGCTGGCAAGTAGGAAGCCCCAGGTGAGCCATGCAAGTTGTGTGTATTCCAGTTGCCTGGTTGTTGTTGCCAGGCCTGGCCTGATGAGTCCTCCATCAAAGATCAAAACAGCCCTGGACAAGGCCCTCCTCCTGCCTCATAGTAACACAAAACAAGGCTTGCAGGCTGGCAATACTGTTGTGGTTGCCTAGCAATGGCAACCACAACAGTATTAAGGCATTTGTTTCTTTACTGGTGATGCATCTATTATTTGCGGGGTTTAACCTCCGTATTTATTTTTTACATATCAGATTTTCCTACAAACCTGGAGCAGTTTTCAGGATTGTAGAAAGAAATGTCTTGTCTCTTCATGGCTCAGTGTCTGGATTTAAGTATCCACAGAATTAGCTATGTTGAAAATTATGAGAGTTATCAAACAGTTTAAGAATCACTTGTAAGAAATTAATGCAGACCATAACGCCAAGGTGATGCTGCCTACAGTACTCTGCAAAGAGCATCATACATATGTAGAACCGTATGAATGAATAGTGAATGGAAGTACTGCTAGAGAGCTTTAAAAAGGTTTCCCTTGCTTGAAAGCCAGGCGAATCTGACTCTATGGAGTGGTGCTCATCTCCGTTTCCAAGCCGATGAGCCAGCACTGTCCAAAGACTTTTTCGTGGTCATGTAGCCGGCGTGACTAAATGCCGAGGCACACGGAATGCTGTTACCTTCCCACCAAAGTGGTACCTATTTATCTACTTGTAATTTCTTGCTTTTGAACTGCTAGGGTGGCAGGAGCTGGGACCAGAGATGGGAGCTCACTCCATCATGCAGCACTCGGGTCTCAAACTGCCAAGCACGTCTTAACCTCTGAACCACCACGGTTCCTAGAGAGCTTTACCCACTTTGAAATTCTATCACGAGTAACTGGACTGAAAATTTTGTAGTTGAGTGACCAGATAAATCCTATCCCTTTAATAAACGCATGTGTGAAAATGGGCAGCTGAAGATTTTACATCACGGAGATAAATAACATCCTAATAAGCCTCTGTTAGGAAGACAGGACGTTTTTTCTCCAGGCAGCTGACAACTCTTGACAATATATGCACACTGTTGCTAAAAGTGACAATTCTCAAGAAATGGAACTTGAAAGGGAGACTCCAGTTTGAAAGTGTTACTGAGAAGTCTGACTCTATTGTTTTGAGGGCATTAGAGCATGGATGCTCCCCAAGGGATGGGTACAGCTTGTCACACACTTTGAAAGGGGGCTTATCTATAAGATGCTTAGTGAGGAAGAGAAAGAGCTGGGGGTGTGTGTGTCTATCAATGTAAGAAAATGGGGAGTCAGGGGATAGCTAGTTTGACAATTGCTGCCTTAAATGGCAAGCCTTACACCATTAACTTCACAGCCAAGCATTCTGAATCAGAAACCATACAACAAGCAGAGGACCTACAAGAATTCAGTCTTCCGCTTTTCCTTCTTCCCTCATCCTGCGGTCTCTTCCCTCTTCCTCTTTACCTCCCTCCTCCTTCAACTTTACCTCATACTCTTCCCCATATTCATGCTTACCTTTCCTTCCTTTCCATCTTGTGCCTCTTTCTGTTTTTCTCTTGCCCTTTCCACTCTGTTGACACTAACCAAGGTGCCGAAGCCTTGGCAACTCCCAAGATGGCCAATAAGATCTCATGGTGCAGTCTTACAAAATCTTGACCAACCTTCTCTCTTTCTTTAAAGGTACAGACATCACGTCTGTTGTTTGGGGGATTCTTACCTTTGTGATATCAGCAAACCTAGGGGTTGTGTCTGTAGAAAAATCTCCCCCCAACTGTTACTGGTCCCATTGTGTAGATTTTAATCTGCACACAATGGCCAGATTCAGAAACAGATATAGCACAAATTATGTAGAACATAGCACCCCAGCATGCAAAAACTAGATTAGCATACTTAGATAAGTACAAATACAATTCCAGCCTGTGGCACGAGTAGCAGATAAACAAAACTAAAGAAGTGACTTGGAATATTGAGAGAGCCAGCGTGGTGTAGTGGTTCAAAGCAGTGGACTCTAATCTGGAGAACCAGGTTTGATTCCCCACTCCTCCTCCACATGAAGCCTGCTGGGGGACTTCGGCCAGTCAAGAGTTCTCTCAGACCTCTCTCAGCCCCACCCTACCTCACAAGGTGCCTGTTGTGGGGAGACGAAGGGAAGGCGGTTAGAAGCCGCTTTGAGACTCCTTCAGGTAGAGAAAAGCGGGGGATAAAAACCAACTCTTCTTCCTCATCCACTTATGCTGTTTGATACACTCAGACTGGCAGCTTTAGTATGAAAGCCAACACAGAAAGAAAACTGAAAGCCACAGACACTGAAAATTCAGAATGATGGAGTGACTAATGCTAGACTAGGATCTGGGAAACCCAGACTCATGTCTCTGCTCTGACATGAAACACTCTGGGTGATCAGGGCTAGTAACAAAGCCTAACCAGGATGGCTGTGAGAACAAAAAAAAAGGGGGGGGAGTACGTGTGCCATCAGGTCTTTGTGGAAGGAAGAGTAAAAACACACTAAATCAAAAGAATACATTGCTCTTAAATCCTTGAATATTTACACCTACATTTTGTTAATTTTTACCAGTCCCGGCATTTTTATAAAACTTAAATTGTATGGAAAAAAATTACTCCCAGAACCGTGTTTGAGCATGTTTTATAGGTGACCTATTCCTATAAAATATTTTCTGAATATAAAAATACAGGTACATAATATTAGTCAAAACACATATATACATATTCGAGTTAATATAAAACAGAGAGACAGCTGTACACACAAATCAGTTCCAAAATCTTCATACTATATCCTTACATATATTTTGCAGGAATGTTCCTCTTAACACTGAGCCCAACCATTATTTAAAGATTTTTTTTTAAACAGCCCCAAAGCTTACAGGGGTGATTTATTCCTATAAAGGCATGTTTACACGAATAGAAAACACTGATGTGATCAGATGTATGTGCACAATATTAGAACTGAATTTTGCAAATGGAAGTTGTATTCTCAAATCGACATCAGAAATGCATGCCACAAAAATTAATGCCTGTTGCAAATACAGCTTTCATCTCTCCACCATACTGAATGCTGCTTCTTTCACACTCCTGTCTTGTGCTCTTTGGAAATTGTACCTCAGGGATTGTCAAAATTGGAGGTATTCTTGAAAGCACAAATAGCCTTGGTTTTAAAACTGCCCTTACCATTTGCTTTGACCGGTTCACATAATTTAAAATTGTATTTACAATAATTTGCTGTATTTCCCATCCTTGGACTGTTATCAAGGGTTAGTGCACTTACATTCTTAAACAATTTACTGCTGGATTAAAGCACTGTGTTGCAGTAGGTGCAAAAAACCAAAATGAACAAGAGCAGTTTATTCTATATTGCATTGAGTGTGCAGCCAGTAGGGACAAGTGCTGAACCTTTACTGTTGAAGCTACTGATGGAGTAAACAACTGAGCGTGCAGATACAATGGCACTCTATTTTAGGATAAGAAAATATAAAAATGCATGGAAGGATTCTTATAATTCTGTAAACACATCTAAATTCATAAGCTGAGATGTTACCCACAATAGCATGTATCTTATGTTTCCCATAATCTTTGACGGGGAGAAATACTACTTTGGATGGGTTTTTGATTCAATCAGTGATGTATACACTCCATTTTAAAATACACAATTCTCTTTTAACATGTATATTAAGAAGTAGATACAACATATGCCGAAGCAACAAATTAGTAACTAAACCTTTTATCTGACACAGTCTTATATTACAGAATGTAAAGTCAAATAGGCATAGATTTTATAAACGAATTAAATCATCTGTATTCTAACACAAATGTTCTGTCCCAATTAAATACAGTATAGCAGAAATAGAATATAAATTACACTTTTTACAGTAAATAGCAAAATACTAAGTCAGCTTACTATATATATATATATAGTAAGCTGACTATATGAATCCAAGAACAGCAGCTTTTCTGTAAGGTCCCACTATCTCAATCACTTTCCAAGAAATAAAAAATATGGCAGGCCATACATACCTTCCCATTCCCATTTACTACTTTATAAATATCCAAGACATCATCTACACATGGAATAGCTTGGCAAGGACTCAAAAGCATCATGTCAAATCCACAGATAAAAAACTGAACTTTCCACATTAATATCAGCTCAGGACATTCTGTTTCAGTTTGGACTCAGTCAGCAACAAACAGTGAATAGGTTTATAGCTGTGATCCACTGCTGCTGCTCTGTTCCTCCCTCCCTGTTTTTAAAGAAGCCATTTGTTGAAAATTTTGTCCACCTTCTGTACGATAATACTGTATCTGCATTCAGATCTCTTGGTTGGCCTGTATTAGCACGTGAAACACCACACATACAAGCTTTAGGCATTGTTAATATTTTTCAGTACATGTCAAGAAGTCAGCACAGTGGCAGGCCCACAGGAAGACCAAAAAAGAAAACAAAAACAAAAAACAACCGCAATCTCTTCAGTGTGCTTACTAAAACACAGGGTATAAGGTGGCACCTGGTGCCTGGTGTTAATGCCTAAAAGTATGGCCCCGAGCCCATCAGCCTAAACAAACATGTAAAATAAAACACAAGATAAACAGCAAGTGTGTTCTTTGGTAATTAACAGCACGTTGTCGGTTTCCCCTTGGACACATATGCACAGCCTTCCCACACAATAAAATATTTCATTTAAAATATGATCTAATTTGTGGAGTAACAAACAGTCAAGTACCTCAAAGTATCTACAAACTAGTTGTAATTTAGTGTACAGTCATGTTTGCCTTTTGGCAGACAAAGGATACAGCCATTTTACATACATATATATTATTTATAAAAACAAGAACTGGAAAATTATGTCCAGGATCCAAACATTCAATAAGGACAGATTAAAACTATACCAGTCACTTCAGAGTAAAAATGTTTCCACACAAGTGACGTGTGCAGCAAGTGCAATAACAAAATTGCAGCTTTAGTTGATCCAAGATTTTCTGATCTCCTGTTTTCTTGAAAAAGCAGAAGCTGCTGCATCTCCTGAAGGACAGAGGGCTGCTGCTCCTGCTTTGGAAGAGTGTGACCCTTGAACTGAATTCCTCCACGTCTCCATACTGGAGGAGAATACCTGAGACTGTGAAGTGCCGCTGTATACCGTTGTGGCAACTGGTACTTTAGTGAGACATCCAGGACGAACAAATACCCCATGTCGTGGCTTGCAACGGAAATACTCTCTACCTTTTACAGTGCCGTCATGTTTCCCTTAAGACAAAAACAAAAAACAAAACCCAGTTATTAGGTGATAACTTTGGAATGGTATTCAACCGCTGCACGGCCAATTTTAAAAAGTTACTTTGAAGATTAAGCCTCTTGTGACCATCAGAGGAATAATTCTGGAAAATTTCTTCCACACACTTGTGGTAATAAGATTCAAGGAAAAGAAACCTATAAATAATATTGTACTGAGAGTCTTATTCTGATGGCATGAATGTATTGTTTAAGGTAAATGTACTCAAGCTAATGTAATACAGCTTTGCTGTGTAAATAAAGCTGTTGCCCTTTTGCAGGGTGATGTGAATGGAGTGCTCCTGATCAGAAGGGACACGGACACCGATGCATGAATCCCTCTTTCCTCCATCTCCTTTGAGCTAACTGACCCCGCCAGCCATATAACATAACTGACACTGTAAACCATTAGGGTGGGGGCAAGGAAGAGGTGTTGCAGAGCGTTTATTGATTACTAATGAACATAGAATGCTGCTGTGTATAGATATTTTTGTCATATTATTGAATATCTGAGTGTACTCAAATTCAAAGCTTGAAAAAACTTTGTATCTTAAATTTTTTCCACAATTTTATACTTAAGCTATAAATTAATGACCACTAAGGGTAGAAATTACTTTCCTCCCAAAAGTAAATTAGTTCTTAACGTTTAAAGTTTCCAGGGGTGTCAACCTTGTTGGGCCGGGCCATGTGTGTCATAAAAGGTAATGGCAGGTAGCAGAGATATAAACATTATAAATGACGCAGACACACAATTAAAGATTTTTTAAAACTTTAAGTAACACATTTCCAGTGAGTTCGACACCCCTGGAATTTAAAGTAATCTATAAAGCAGAAAGATACATTAAAAAAATTAAGACAGTATTACTGTATTCGCAGTCCAGGGTTAGCCTGTCCTGGATTATAAGGGCATGCAGACATTACTAAGCAATTTGTGTTTGCAGAATTCTAAACCGACAATTTCTTACCCATCTGGAAATGCAATTCAATGCCAACCCAAGTACCAGTTGAAAAATCCACCGGCCCAATATATCTCACTATGCCAGATTTACTGTTTCCAATACACACGTGTTCCCCCACTGCCACCCAGTTAGGGTACTCTTCAGAAGTAGCATCTTCACAATCAGAGATATCCAGATTATTTTTTCCAGTGAAGTCATTTGCTAGGAAAGAATCTGCATGTGCCTGACAACATGAATCCTTTTTTACTATGACAGCCAACACAGGGTTTTCAGTACTGCTTGCTTGCTGGCATGCCACTTGTGTAGGCTCCAGTTGACTCATTGGTTTGTCCTTGTTGCAGTTCTTTTTTGAGGAACCTGTGGCACAGTTCATTTTAGCTGCTGAAAGCTTTTTTCTTCTGTTAGAAGATCCACCAGAACAGAACTGTAGTGCTCCTGAACATTCGAGTTCCTTTCCATCTTCAACACCCATGAATTCTGTGAAAGCATAATCCTCAAAAACATTTGAAGTGTGCTCAACTGTTACTTCTCGAGCTGCAAATTCAATTCCATGTTCTGAGTTTTTATTATCTGAAAAATCCTCAGCTGAACTTTGTAACTTCGTGGCATCTACACTGGTGGTACTTTCGGACACGGGAATCTCGCTTGCCAAGGCATTGTTTCCTTTGAGCGGTGACATGGCTCTCTTATCTTTAGAGCAGCCCCTTTCTGGCTCCAAAGCATCTTTGTTTGAAGGTCTTAAATCATGGGAGAGATGAGCCACAGAATGGTCACTAGAGTCCAAATCTCTAATCTGATTAGCTAGTTGGTCTGTGCTATCATTGCAGGAAACTAGCATATCAGACAAAGTAGCATTTGAGGCACTATGAGAAAAGTAGCCACTAGTAATACTGCTAGTGGTGGGGCTACGGGATACCTCTTTCTCAAGGATCCGAGAATTTACTAAGTCTCCTTTAGAGGATAACCATTCCCTGCTTTCCAGGCTAGCATTATAAACACTGAAATCAGCAAACTCCTCGGGCACATAAGGTTTCTTGTTAATGGCCTCCAACTCATCTTCTTCTTCCGAGTCCTGTGAAAATGTTACAGAGAGATAAGTTACTTCTTTATAAAGTAGTTTTCGTTTTATGCTTACAAAAATATTCTTCCCTACTTCATCATAAGGACTGTTCACAATTACCTTCAAAAGAGAGAAAGCCAATTAATTAAAAGAGAAATTATTGAATTTTAAGTATGACCATATCGTTACAGAAGAGAAACGATGATGAATTCCAACCACAGAAGCTACTGAAGATAGATCCAGGTGGTCATCTGTGTTGGTCTGAAGCAGCAGAACAAATTTAGAGTCCAGTGGCACCTTGAGACCAACAAGAGTTTATTCAAGGTATTATAGCAATCCTAAAAAACTTCTAAGAACAGCACCCGCCTCATCTCCTCATGGAACCCATTCCACAAAATGGGAGCCATGACTGAAAACTAACAGGCACTGGAAGATGTCAGGTAGGCAAGCCTTAATTGGGGGGCTAGCAACTGGTGGTTACAGGCCTGTAACTGGCATGCGGAGAAGGACGGGAGGAAATGGTCCTTCAGATATGGCAGGCCTAGGCACTGAAGGGATTTATAGGTTGTAACCAGCACCTTGAATTGAATTTGGAAACAAACTGGCAGCCAATGTAGCTGTAATAAAATAGACAAGATGTAGTCCTGTCAGCATGATAATAATCAGGCTGCAGCATTTAGAACCAGCTGCAGATTCTGGGTTGTCTTCAAACTGCATTACAGACCACTCATCAGTGTAATCAAAGCATTGTTTGTTCCAAATCTAGGCCTGAATCTAGACTGAAATGTGTTCAGAGCAGACACATCATCCAGGAGCCCCGGGAGATACTTTTGCCCTGACATACTATGTTACCCCCAGAAGCAGCAAACTGAAGACGGCTTATGGTTGGCCACTTCACCCTTAGGCACTGAAAGCTTTTTAAGCAAAATAATAACTGCCTCCTTTAGAGGCTTGGGGGAAACCCTTTTATCCATAAGGCATTAACGATTTTAACCAAAGGATCCAAATACCTTTTCACAGCATAATTGCAAAAGCCAGGATGGACATGGAACAAGAGCGCAAGTGGTAGCTCTCTCATACCCCCAAGGACCCTGTCAGCATCCACTGGGATCCATCCTCAGGAAACAGACAAGCAGGTGCTTCTTCTGAAACCTCAGGTGCTGGATTTACACTCAGGCTTGCCCCCCCAGGTTGGAATAGATCAGATTTTTTAAAAAAATTAGCGAAGACCCTCACCATCACAACTGGTGGACAAATTAACATTACACAGGCAGTGAGACTTAGGTATTATCACATCATGAACTGCCTTCCTAAGTTATTTCCATTTTGTTAAAGCAAATACATAGTCCGCAGTCAAGAGATGTAAATGGATTGATAATAATAACAATAATAACAATAATAATAATAACTTTTGATTTATTGATCGCTCAATCCTGCAGAGCTGCTGGCTCTGAGCGATTTACAATTACACAAGTTTTCACAAGGGACTAACAATGATTCATAGGGGGTAAGGGAGGACAACATATAATTTGACCTAGAAAGGGAATGCAGTGCAGCCATGGACAACCTCTGCTCCTCCAAACTGTTATATTAGGCAATAGAGGCATATTTGAAACAGTGGACTTATAAGAGGTTCACATGCAGAATATCTTGTGTTTAAAAACAGAAGCATAAAACTGTTTCCAAACGTCTGCAATAGAGAAAGCAGATATATGTAGTTTTATTACAATGGTGTAAACTATTTGTATGTACATGGTTCTACATATCAATGGTAAAACATGCTAAGAGCAGTCGATCAAAATTTCTACCAAGTAGGACCTGTAGAGTTCTTAGACACTGTAGTAAGGAAACTTAAATCTCTGTTTAAGCCAGGATGACGCATAATATTTAACTTCTTGATGAGTTCTCATTCAGCACTTTTGAGTTGCATACTTTTTTTTGTATAACAATGGCTTTCAAGTCTATAACAGTACATCCAGAGATATAACATTTTCATCCCCCTGTGCCCCGGTTCCCAGCAGGACTGAGCCCCTGCAGTGTTTCAAAAGGTAAAATCTAGGCTGTAAAATGGCGCCCTGTCCCTGTGGTGGACTCAGGGACATGGTACTGTCTAGTTTGGCTTTAAGAGTGATTGCCGTAACTCATTTAGGCCAGCACAACAGACTCATGTAGCATCAACTTTGGAAGTCATACTATGGTTGCCAGGTCCCACCCTCACCAAGGGGTCTGAAAACCCTAAGCCAGGTCCCTCCTGGCAACCGGCAGGGGTGGGGACTATTGCAGCAACATGTCTACATCACTTCTAAAGTGACATGGAAGTCATGTCATCACGCAGCAATGTCAGCACGATGCTCTGGTATCTGGGCAAAAACTATGGTAAATTTGGCTTCTACCATAGAGTTTTTGCCCAAATACCAGAGCTTCACGCCAATGTCACTGACCTGATGACATCACTTCCAGGTCAAGTTGGAAGGGATGCTAGGCATGTTGCTGAAACATTGACAGAGCCTTGTTCTTTTTCAGAGTACCCCCCCGGCCGGTCAGCTGATCGTGGCGGGGTGGTGGGGCCTGGTGGCGGGGGAACCCCGCCTTCACCAAGGGGTCTGGAAACCCTAAGCCAGACACTCTTGACTTTCATTCTGAAATTTTAAAAAATATATGTCAGCCTTATACAACTACTTTCTACTTTCCATGAATCACTCAAGTCTGTGGAATATAATTATTTCTTAGTCAGTAGCTACAGAGATTTTAAGTCATATTGCTACCAGATTCTTTGCTGACTGAACAACAGGAATGCCAGCTGCTTTCCAACAAGAGCAAGTCACGTGGCTCTCATTACAGGGTGCTGGGTGGAAACAGTGCGGAGAGGAATATCACATAAAGGACAATGCTGAATCAGCTTACATCTCTCAGACTTCTAGATGCTGCTTTCAAAGATGTAAAGGTAACTTATACTGGATTAGTGCTCACAGAACTAATGCTAACCATATTTGCAGGAATAGTATTGTAACTCTGAATAATTTGAAATAAGCAATCAAACAACTCATGAGCTCTGACATTTAGCAGTCAATCTTTAGCCCAACCAACTGTGCTTGGTAAGAGAACATTTAATTATGGTTGCCAGCCTCCAGGTGGGGCCTGGAGATCTCCTGGAATCACCACTGATCTCCTGCTGTCAGAGATCAGCTCCCCTGGAGAAAACGGCTGCTCTGAAGGGTGGACTCTATGGCATTGTACCATGCTGAGGCCCCTCCCCTCCCCAAACCCCCCCCTCTCCTGGACCCCCCCCAAATCTCCAGGTATTTTCCAACCCAGAGCTGGCAACCCTACATTTGATGTTTTTCTCTTGAAAGACTGGATTGCATTATTAATCAAATGAGCTAGGCATTTCATGCAAAAATTAGCATTCAGGTAAGGAACATGCAAGCACACTTTTTATCATTTATTTGATTGGTACTGTGTTAACTATACATTTTGTTAGCTCCTCAGAGGCAGGATATGTTTGGTTTTTCAAAAAACAACTCTCCTCCACAATTAGAGTAACAGGGGCCTTAATCCACCACCAGGCCATTATAATAGAGAACCAAGGCAAAACTTACAATCTTCTTCACGTGTATGCTATTGTGTTCTACTGGCATGCTACTGGTATTACTTCCTGAGGGCACAACACAGCCAATGTTATATACCTGAGATGACAGCATGCTCTGCAAAGGTTGAGACACACAAACACATCATACAATGAACATACTAACAATAAACCCAAGCAAATTAATAGCACAGAAGGGTTGCTTATTGAAACAAGGCAGGCAAGTAGGTAAGCAAGTAAGCTGCCAAATCCATGCAGTGAGGCCTGACTAAAAAGCATTAAATTGCAGAAAATGTGGAACACTCTAAAAATGGTGCTGTAATTTAACATAAACTAACTAAAGGATATTGAGACTCGCATGCAATACTGTTAAGATGGCATTCCAAATGAGAGAGAACAAGATTTGTTAAAACTTTATTGTGGGATTTCCAGAGCTCCAAAGGCTCCTTATTACAACTGCATGCTGCAAGTAATTTGTTAGATATATACAATAATTACTGGCATCTAAATGCTTCAACATTCAAAAAGGTTATTATTACTTAAATTTCTTGTACCCACCTCTTTGCTAAGTAGAGGCCGAGTTTCAAGAGAGGGTTTTTTGTTCTCTTCTCTTACTGGCATTAAAGGTTTGAAAAACTTGGGTGGCTGCGGAGAAAATGCTTTAAATGGACTGATGATTGATGCCTGTGGATTCTCCAATACAGTACCTTGCAGAATATAAAAAGCCCAATAGATTAGCTATTCTGACACCCATATGAATCACCAACAAGAAAAACAATGGACAAGAGATCCTCATCAGTACAGGTCCCTATATTTCTAAAGCTAGGGACTCTATGGTCTTTTATCTTTTACTTTTTTTATATAAATCCCTGAACAGACCTTTCACTCATCAGTAGCTCTCTTCTACTGCAAAAGGAATATCTGTGCTGTCTAGTTAGAATGTGGGTACTTTTAATTTTCTTTGAATTCTATCAACCACAGAATAAATGTGAAGAGTCTTTCTCCCTTTATGTTCTTCCCCACTTCAGTTCTTGTAAGTGCATTGCTAGGCAGAAATGGCACTGTTCAGCTTCCATATATGTCGCTATTCACAACTTCCCAACTACAACTAGTTCTGGAAGCAGGAGTTTACAATTTTAAAACAAGGAAGAACATGTAGTTTCCTTTCTTTTTTGCACTTATTCTAACCAGATGGCTGTACAAGAAACAGTGGGACTACTCGAGAGGTGGGGCTTTGGTGCAACGACCTAGTTGAAGACTCAGGGCTCTCTCTGATTTTCACTAGCTTTTGGAGCTTTTTAGTGGACTTTTTTGACCTTTCCGGACACACCAGACGGGTCAGGAGTCTCTCCAGTACCTCGGGTGTAGGAAACTGGTGGCAGAAGACTTTTATCTGAGCCCCCTGACTGTGGCAACAGCAGGAGACAGAATCAGACTGTCTTGAAGCAGAAGCTCCTAAAGACCAGCCGCGTTCTATACCTCATCATTAACATCCTTGGTGAAGACTCAGTGAGTATTTTTGGCTTTTTCACAAACTCTAAACTTGGAAAAGAACATTTGATTGCCCCCATAAATCTTCCCCAAAAGCAAAGGGAGCTGACTCCCGCGCCTGCGGCTTGCCAGAGTTCGGGGGAGTTCTTCACTTTTAAAATTGAGGGGTTAAATTTTGCATTAAGATCTTCTGTCTGCTAGCTGGGAAAAGATTTATACAGAGACTATTCTTAAGTGGCTGATTTGATTTATTGAGAGGAGGACAGACCTGTAAAATGGCGACCACAACTTTTATATCTGCGTAGTTCACAGATTTGTGGAGGCTGCCTGTTCAGGAGCGTGATGGCCTTTTTAATTGAGATAGAGAAGGGAAATCTCTTTGGACACATACTACAGCAGGTAGAAGACTGGGGGAAATATTGGGATCTCTTTAAGCTACAATTGGGAAAAAAGATTACAGCTTCTGTCTTCCAAGCTTTGGAAGCTATGGAAATCTTTGAAAGAGAAGAAGTAATCATGTCTCTTGAAGTACAAGACGAACAAGCACAGATGACGTCATATACTTTACAAAGCGAAGTCCGGCTGGAACTGTTTGAACACTCGACGCTCAGAATGAGAGATTTTTTCAGCTGCAACTTTGGATATAAGACAGCACTGGTCGAGTTGGAGAGACAGCACTTCATGAGTTATTTCACAAGCAAGATTAAAGAGAAGACCTTCAAAGATCGGAGGCATATAATACTAACAATTTTGGGGAGACATTTGCAGAGAAAACAAAAGAAACTTATATTTCATAAGTATCTGTAACAATATATCTTGACTGTTTGCATGTTTTAACTGATCAAGGAGACAAAGTGGAAATCTAACTGCTAAGAATACTGGTTTATCTTTTTTGCCTCACCTTCTTCCTTTCTCTTTCTTTACTCTGAATTTATACATAATACATCATCTGTTTGCATAGCTTAACTGGTCAATGAGATAAAGTTTTATTCAAAGGGGAACTTTAAATGTTAAGAAATATATGTCTACATACTATATCTTTATTCTTTTTTTTCCTTTGAACCTATACTGACACTTGCAAAATGATTGACTAAGAATATAATCTGTAGTTACAAATATTGACTATTTTTTATTGTTCCAATTGATTAGTGAAAGTTAAAGTAATGGTTGGTCTATTTGAAACAACAGGTTTGGGATATCTGTAATGCTCTAACTGAAGGTTGAGGGGGGAAAATAACTTATAGGGCAGTTTGATTTTTAGAGTGGGCTTTACAGGGAGAAAAAATAATAATAATAGTAATGGGCTGATCTCCTAGAGAAGATGTAATGATTTACTATTGTGAGAGAAAAGATGGCGGTAAATAAAGTAAGATGAAAACATACTGGCACTGTAAAGCTAAGAAAAATATAAAATACTATGTCTAAGTTTGTAAGTATATGAGATTTTGAAAGCTAAAAAGGTGAAGGAATATCTTAAAGGGACCAAACTGTTATTATACAAGAAATATGTGCCCAAATTAGAACTGTTAAAATGCTGAAACACCTGTTTCTTTTCCTTTCTATTTTTATGATTATAAAACGAATTAATAATAGCGCAGCATAGATAGAATGAAATATAGCAGATAGGGTATAGAAAAATGAACTATATATTGGGAATAGAATTTTGATATTTGTTGTGGAATATAAAGTTAAACAAGGAGGAAAAAAGAACTATGTATCTAAAGATGTTGTGAGCGAGACAATGTCTAGATATTTTAAAAATGTATTGCTCTTTCTGTTATTCTGTTTTGTGTTAAAAAATAATAAACTTTGCCCATTTGGGCAAGTATTTAAAAAAGAAAAGAGAAGAAACAGTGGGACTACTCCAGGGCCCGGGAACTATGAAAGCCCAGTTTATCTGTGGAAAGGCTTATGACTTTGCAGTAAATGTTTAATTTGCACTGTATGACTGTTGACAAGCTAACCTGAACAAGTTTTTCCTTCTAGCTTCTAGTTGCAAAAGCTGGCAAGATGTGAGTTCATATGCTGATGGAACTCGATAAAAGAATAGGTCTGTTTGGGAGGGCCTGGGTATTCAATGAAGGTGGCAGGAACGTTCTGCAGTGTGGCCAGTCATTTTCTACCAGGTAAGCAGGAGAGAGGTCTCATCAATTATATAGAGAATTTCTGTCCTTTTGTGGTGAAATTAGACCTCATGGTGGGATGAGAAGAAAGGTTATGGAATTCTTTTGGAGGGCTGAAGTGAGTCAGACCTCAAGAGGTAAGGCCAAAAAGATGTCAGAGAAACGTGAAGATATGAACAGAGCCTAAAAAGAAGCCTACCAACCTCTTAATTTACTATCATGGAAATAAGTTTTAGACCTAGGTGAGAGGAGACATGTTTCAGAGTGTTATTGCTCAACTGGATGACATTTTGTCATCAGTTTTTTTTTTCTGTAGCCAATGACTGCTTTCTGCAACTGGAGTTAATGTGTGGTCAGTGTCTGCACCCAAACAAAAGGTTAACTCAGCTCCCTGCCTTATCTTTGTAACTTCATGGATCTGAATTACTCAGATAGTTTTCAAAGTTTTATCTGTTTATCCGTGTAAGCTTGGAGTAGGTGGGTGAATCAATTTGAAGAAAAGTCTCTTACATAAAAGACAGAAATAGTGTGTTTGGGTTTCAGGTTAGCATACAAGTAAAGCTCTAACTGCTAACCTGCTGGTGGCATCAAAACAAATTCCCCAGAGAGTGGTTCAGAGAAATAAAGTGGGAGAGATGAACTCCTCCATGAGATCTAGCTGCTTGACTCCTGGACCAGCTGAAGATCCACTAATAGTCAATACAGATTAATATTGACCAAGATGCACATATGGTATAATCAGGGGTCATTTCCTGTAGGAGCGCACAGGAGCGGAGCCCACGGGGCGGGCAAATGCAACAAGCCCCACCCCCTGCTCCCAGCAGCCCTCAGTCAGAGCAAGAAGCAGCCAGGTAAGTTGCAGAGCTCCCCCCGGCCCAAAGCAGTCCAGTGGCACCTTTAAGACCAAGTTATATTCAGGTACAAGCTCTCCCTCTGCGAGGACAGATCTGCACGTTCTCCCCCCCCCCCCAATAGCTAGCAATCCAAAACAGTCCAGTGGAGCCTGAGTGGTGGGTGTTGCCTTCTGACACACTTCCGGTGATGTCAGGGTGTGTGGCATATGCAAATAAGTTATGCTAATGAGCTATGCTAATGAGATCCTGCACCTTTTTTCTACAAAATGACCCCTGGGTATAATGTTAGCAGATTTAAATTCTAAACAGATTTGGACTGAATGCGTTGCCTGTGTGCTAATATAACTAGAAACTTAAGGACAGCAAACAAAAAAGAACACAATCCCTTATATATCATAATCTCACTTTCATTATTTTATTATCTGCACTTATTTATCCAATTAAACAAATACACACTCCCTTACCACCAGCATCTTTACTTCGTCTTGGTGAATCCCTGGGTAAAGTACCATAACACGCTACATCTTGATAACTGGTGGAGCAATCTAATATATCTAGCTGGCCTTCTGACCAATCCTGAAGTCACAAAAATGAACAAAATCAAGCAAAGTTAGGAATAACTTGCAAAGCATTTCAAGAATTCAGTTTCTTTCAGCGGTCAATTTATTCATTTAAAGACTTGAAAATAACTAAAGTTGAAATTAGATTTTTTAAATTCAGTAAATCAAATTCTACATTATTGTTCTAAACACATTTCCTAAAAACCAACTAATGATGTATGATTAAACGTAATTAAGGCTTTCTTGCATTATTTTTAAAAAGATTCATTTCTACTACATTTTAAATACCATGAAAGACTGAGGTCCCACTCCTTAATTCACTTTCTGAATTCATACCTTATCTTCATCACAGCCAGAAAGATCTAAGCGGCTAGAAGATACCTAAAACATAAACAACGAACAAGCATAAGGTAAGTGAATTCCAAATTTGCAACTGTGTTGGCACCACTGGCAAAACCTGCCATAACCAGCCTTTGTAAACTTAAAATACAAGATGCTAACAAGCAACTACAGTTTTCTCTCTGTTTTGTGTGGATGAGAGAATGTGATTCTTGTTTTGTTTCTCAGCCTGCATAAGTCTTAAAACTATGTTTTTATCTGTGTGGGGAAGTCAAGTTTGGGTGAGCTTCTGTAGTTTCCTTCTGCAGAAGGGCATGTGGAATTTTGCTATGTGTTATTATATTTGTTTTTTCTGATATATAGCATGGGCCTGGTTATATGCAATGGTGATGGTGGGGAACACCACTGAGATACAGATGACTCCGAGAAGTTCAATACAAACAAGATGATGCTGGTCAATGATAAAAGCCACTTTGGGGACCGAAAGGTCAGCCAGTCCTGGAGATTACTATGCTTCCCCTTTAACTGCTTGTAGCTTGGGGATAGCTGCTGGAACCTGTTCTATAGTTGAAGATTCAAGATTTTCTGCAGCACAGAGCACTTTTTTCCAGCTTTAGCTGATATACAGCCATTTATTGAAAGCTAAGATTTTGGTCACTGTCATTCATGCTGTCAAAACATCCAAGTTCGATTATTATGCACTTTACACAGGGCTGCTGCTAAAAACTGCCCGATTAGTTGGCTAGGTTTTGACTTATGTATGGAAGTCAAGAGTAGTACTCTGTAAATCTCGTAAAGCATGTTAGGATTGCTTTGTATTTTAAGATAATGGGAATATTGGTTGATGTTGTTTTAGTACTATCCCTTAAATTTTGCCTTTGTTCTGGTTATCTGTGTTATGCCAATAAAGGTTTTCTGTTCTCTCTCTCAGTTGGCTAGGTCATTTTCAGGAGATACAGGGACAGTATTACCTGTGTACTGAAAGACCTGAATTGGCTGCCTATTACTGGGCAAAATTCAAAATGCTAGCAATTACTTTTATGGCACCCAAGCTCTGCTATCTTTGTCCCTGCCCACAAAACTGAGGTGCACAGTAACCTGAGATAGTGGCTTCTCATCCCAGCTTCACCTAGCACCTACATCTCTGAAAAATGCCCCTCAGAATTATTTTCAGAATTGTCTTAACAGGCAAAACTACTTGTAACACTGAAAGAGCATCTTACACTGTGAACATTTGGTGTGCTGACACTCCTCCGTATGTGTCGAGCCTTGGTAGACAAAGCTTCTTTGACTGCGACAGCCTGTATTAAGACACAAGGGAACACAGTGAAATACGTAATTCTAACTATAACTATAGTCAATTAAAGCTTATTTTAGAAGAGACATATAAAGATGCATTTGTGAACACAGAGCATATTTTACTTCTGCATGAACAGATTTTAAACTAAACTTCCAAAAGGAAATTCACATCAACTGGGGCTGTGAACTACCTATACTAAGGGTGTGTGTGGGGGGGAAGAAAATAAGAGATATTCCTAATGGCCATAACAGCTATATTAAACAGGTAAAACCTCTTTTCTACTTGCCTGTCTTAGTCGTTCAAGACTCAAAATATTTTCTACATGCAATACTCCGCGTGTATACTTCTCTATGTAAGTTTCACCATCAGATGTACCCTCGTTTTCACTCTTGGCTGCCATCAGCGCCAAGGTCTCTCGGTCCTCAGTTTCTTCTGTAGCCTAATATTTAAGTTTAAAACAAAGACACAAATTGATCGCAACATTTGTCAGTTTTTGCTGTTTTGATTCAAGAAGTTTGTATAGTTCCCTTATAGTCTGACATTCCCAAGTATTCCAGCCTCCCGATATAAATACATCAAAATGTACCTTTGGTATATTTGACACTATTTCATAGGTCACACCACAAGCATAACATATATTCTTCAATGATATTCTTCTTTTCAGACTCTGGGTAAAACTCTAAAAAAGGCAAAGACATTTTGAAAAATACAGAATTCACATAATAAATAGCATGATCACACAGGCAAGCTACTAAAATAGAATGAGAAACAGCAACTCTGAAACACTTTTCTCATATGCAGTCTTATAATATTCAATAACAATTCACAGATCAATTCATTACACTGTGCCCCTCTACCGGCATACTGTTCGACAACTTCTTGTCAAACACAGACCTGGATCTGAAAGACCAAGGAAAGAATGACACATATCCTACCCTGAGGAGCAGTTCTCCTTTCAGGAAGAGAAATATTATCATGTGTAATAGGACACAAGTACTTCCCACCAGTGTTCCCTCTAAGCTGAGTTAGTGTGAGCTAGCTCACAGTTTTTTAGCCTCTGGCTCACAGATTGTTGTCTTCACTCAGGAAGAGTGGCTCCAGAGCAAACTAATGTATGCAGGAGCCAAAGCGCTGGCTCACAACTTTAATGCCCGTAGCTCACAAAGTAGATTTTTTGTTCACCAGACTCCACAGCTTAGAGGGAATATTGCTTCCCACCTCCCATTTTTTTGCAATCCGCACCCCAATGCCCAAAAACTTGCTCCTGAGACTCAGGTATCTCAGAAACAAGTGCTATGTAACAACGAGCGCTGAAACTCAAGTAGGAAGTCCACAGAAATACAGAACCCCTTCTTTTTGTGTGTGCCAAGAAATGCACAAGGACACATTTGGATCCTACCTATATTAAATGGATTAAGGTCTCAAACCCATTCAATATGCAGCAATTTTCCATATTGATATTGCTTTCTTGTAGGAAAATTGTGTGCCACTGGCATGATAGGAAATCAAAGTAGGCCAGACAAAAATCACTGAATTATTAATTTTCCCAAAGGAATATAAGATACACAAGTTCTGCAACACACAGGAAGGCAGAACTCAACCTTGGTAGTTGTTACTACTGTAAAATACTTAGGGACAAAGTTAAAAGTTCAAGCACAAACATTGATTTTGACACAGGCAAATTTTTGTGCCAAATTCTCAGTTACAAATGAAGAGTATTTCATGGAAACGCTTCCTAATTTTGATTTTCTCATTATCCTTCCCAGCTAAGATGATAAAATACCAAAGAGATACAATCAAAATATGACACAATAAAAACTGAAAGCAGACCTGAATTGCAAGAATCTGTTTACCTGTTTATTGTAAATATTAGCAGCAATCCTTTTACGTAACACCAATTCCATTGCAGCGGGATGGCTCAGCTGGACTGTGATCTTTACTATTAAGTAGATTCTCTCATTTTGGGGTGTTACCCTATTCAAGTGCACTGAATCGTGCACAGATGAATCCCAGGCAGCAGTGGCTGAAACCTAAGAGCGCAGTTTGGTAGAGAATGAAAACAAACCAACACAAATTGTTTCAACCTAGATCTGAAACACGAAAATACCTAAAGACAGAGGCTTCACTGAAAACCTTTGAAAAAACAATTTTTCCAGTATGGTGGGATAACAGTGAGCCTTTAATTAACAGAAAGTATCTAGAAGAACTCTTCCTGAGAAAATACACACACACCCCACCACAAAATGCATCTCAAGCTGCTATTTTAGACTCATTGGGGAAAGGTATTTTGTAAAGAGAAAAAAATAATAACATCTGTCAACAAGAAAAAGCTCAGCTACCAATGAACTGTAGAATCTTCTGTTAAGTAGACACAAGTGGGGAGGGAACCCCCAAGAAACCTGTATGGAGGGTGCATCCCATCCCCCCCCATTTGCTTCCTTCCTTCTCCACCCTTCTTGATCACCTTCCTCCTTTTTCTCTCTACCCCTTCTCCATCAATCTCCCCCCTCAGTCAATATCCCCACTTCTATTTCTTCCCCTCTCCTTCTCTGTTAATATCCCCCATCTCTCTTTCTCCCTGCTTCACTTCCCTGACAATTTCCTCCCCCTCTTTCTCTCCCCCTGTTAATCAAACCCCCCCATTTCTCTTCCCCTTCTCTGTTTTAAATCCCTCCTATCTCTCTTTCCCCTCCTTACTTTGACCTGCTCTTGGGCCACGGGGGCTGCCCTGGCCCTGAGACCCACTGCCATACTGGCAGCAAGGCCCCCAGCCGGTGCTGCAGTCAACCATGACAAAGGTCCAGGAGGCTGCTCAGGTAAGTTATCTGTGTGTGCACAGACAACTTTATTGTTTGGGGGAGGGGATATAATTTATTTATTATTTGTATTTATAGCCTGCACAACCCACAAGCAGGCTCAGGGCGGGTAACATCATAGAACAATACAATACATATAGTTTAAAATTTAAACCATTTAAATCAATAATAAATATCAAAACATAATCACAATTCAGACAAGTAACCCCCCCCCAATATAATTTTTAAGGTTTTCAGATTTTTCTGCAAATCTGAGGGGTCCCTGAAGTTTGGAGAAAAATCTCCTTTCTATCATTGTGTGCCTGATCTGTGGATTTAGGTATCCACAGACTGGCCCACACTTGAGTATTAGATATTTAAATACAGTTTTTATTCTGATGGTTCTCATTCATCAGAGGGAGAGTCTCTCTTTAGGCCTGTTTTCTGAAATGAAAAAGGTGAAATAAATTCTAGCACATTTTATTCAGGCACTGGAATGAAAAAGACATCAAAACAGCAACGTTACTGAAAACTAAGAAACAGAAGAAATTGTTGTAAAACATCTTTGTTAAGTGATTATTTAGTGCCTCTTATCAAAATTACTTTTTTGTTATTCTTGGAAACACACAATACCACCTCTCACCTCATGTAGCAATTAATCACACTCCACTTTGCTAATGAGTTGTTCTTAAAACAAAATACAGTCGACACACATCTTTGATCAAAGCAAAGCAGGAGAGGGTATTAAAACAAATAAAACGCATCAACAAAAGACAAATACGGTAGCCATAAATCAACTGTCCAGGCAGCTTGCTAATAATTTACCTCATCATTACTGTGTTTTATGATTGGCAGATAAAAGAATTGACTTCCATGCTCCTTTGGTAGTATTGAATTAACTCCTGATGCATGTGGACCTACAAGCTGTTCGTTGGCGCTGAGGTCATCAGCTAACAAAAAAGTAGCACAATTAAATCACAAGAGAGCAAGTGTTAGCATCAAAGAATTCTATTAATGGTTAACTCAGAGTGGAATGGCGTGATATTGTTCTCAGGGTCATGGCAAAGCTAGCAAAGAACAGAAAAATCACAGCTGTGGTCAAGTCACGATCCTAGTTGTTACCGTGTCGCGGAATTAGGGCCTGGATTGACACCTGCTAAACCTCTGTTACTTTAATTTCTATAGTAAATTAGCCTCTATAGTTTATCTGGTTCTGTTTCTCAGGAGGCTACAGGACTCTGCTGGTGCTGTGGTCTTCTGGTACCGATAACTCTGTACTTGATTTTTGCCCTAAAGGATGTTTATACATTCCAGAAGTTAGTGGTGTCACTATCAGAATCAAAATGGATATGGTATCTGAAACTAGCTTCCCAGACTCTCCTTGACTTTCTGTGAGGTCCTGACCCCAGAGACAGAGAGAAAGGGGAGGGATTTTGGTTGGTACATGGGTCAGTTCTACTTGGTAGTCCTATGTGATAGGTACATCAGTAGGTACATTAGCAACAATAGGTCCAAGGAAGATATATACCTCTGGTTTACTACTGGTGGGTGCTGGCCATCAAAAAGCTCCATGTGAGACCTTGATGGCTAGTCCAGAACGTTCTGAGTTTTATACAAGTGCTCTATTTTATGTATTTAGTTTGTGTTGAAATATTCTATGCTGAATATTGAAATGCTACAAAATGTTTTCTGTCTTAAGTGTATAATGGAATAAATTGAGTTTTGTTTAAGAACCATTGCCTCTCTATATACTAGATTCAGCCTTTGTCAGTCTCCACTCAACCAATGAAATAACTCAGGGGAACTGGGGGGGGGGGGTGTTCCAGGAAAAGAACCTGGCCCCCCGAATCCCTCAACATATTGTATTGCCAAAGCTTCCTTTCTGCTATCAGGAAGGAAGAGGAGAGAAGAGGGGAGAGATAAGCCTGAAACCCTATACAACAGCTCAGCTGTTATCAGGAAGTCCCATTTCTGCTATGAAGTCTCAATATGTAGGGTTTCAGAAGGGGTATGGATACATCCTCAGGATATCCATGGAGCCCTCTAAGAATAACCACAGTAATTCAGACAAGAAGACTGGAAGAGACTGCCCCATGGAAAGTGTGGTTGAGAACAAAGGCAAAGGCATCTTCAAAAAGAACAACATATTTTATTAATTATTGTAAACAATCTTGGGATATCAATATTGAAAAGATCAGGTGGAAGTATGAATACTGAACGTGTGTTTTCCCATTATAAAAAAAGTCTCTACTGCCCAAGAGCTGGATCAATACAATGCTTTTTGAATTGCAAAAAGCATCTGCTTTTGAAAGGTCTTGCAAGTGCTTAAATGATTTTAAGTTTTGAACAAGCTCTAGAATTATGCTTTCTTTATATATGCACACTAAGCAAAACTGTAATTTTCTATACTCACTTGTATGAATTCACAAAACCAGATTATTATTTTTTTAAAGATCTCTCACTAAGCTTTACTCAAAGCATTAAAACACCAGCATTATCTCATGTCCTTCACACTTGTAGCAAGCTGTAACTTACCATTCAAATCAAGGAAAAGGACAGGTATGTGTGTTTCCATTCCAGAAGGTGGGATCCTAACAGTAAAAGAGCATCTCTGTCAATACAGTGAATCATATCCATGCATAAGTACTTTATTGGAAAACTCAAGCCTCTTTTTTAAAAAGCCAGCAATTCAAGTTAATCAGCAGTAGATATTAATACAATACAAGTAAAATGCGTAAAGAATTGTACACAACAGCAGCACTTCTCAAGCTGATAATTATGAATTTACATTGTGTGATGCGGCACATTCTATGTATGAAGGAAACTGCAACTTAAAATACATCAGCATTTAAGAAACACACACACTCCTAGAACAAAAAATAAGAAATTACAACACACTGCATCCCTGATTTTATTAGTTTATTATTGCTTAGGGTCTATCTTTGGGGGGAAAGGATGGGAGTTTGTATGGTTCTGCTTTATGTGGTAGATGGAAAGAGCCAATAATTCATTTCTTCTAAACAATTTCTTCTAAACATTTTGGCTTCAATTATGAAGGCTGACTTGTTTTGCTGTATTTATGGCTAACACATTCTTCCATTTCTATTACAAATACAAAATGTTACAAAGTGCTTCCTACAGAGGGATGCCAGACCCCCTGGTGGGGGCTGGGGTCGCCTGCTGCCAGCCCCCACCTCTCTGCTGCTGTCCAGCTGGCTGGCAGAGGAGAATTATGCCCCTCCTCAATGCAAGAATGCTGGAAATTAACATGACATGCCTACATGACCTGGAAGTGACATAGGCACACTGGGGACATTCGGGGGAGGGACAGTCTGTTTTTTGGGCAAAACTCTATGGTAGAAGCTAATTCTACCGCAGAGTTTTGTCCAAAAACCACAGCGTTCCACCCACGTACCTAAGTCACTTCTGGGTCACATAGGCATGTTGCATTAATTTATGGTGTTTCTTCCAGCTCCTGGTAAGCATACCTCCCATCCCCCACTGGCTGCTCTGAGGGACCTGGCAAACGCTTGCACCCTGTAAGGAACTGACCAAGCAGCCTTGCTTTGGATTCTCAATACTGTACTTTCAAATGATAAAGTTAAATTAACATAACCAGATTCTGTTGATACTTTGTATTTTAGGGGGGGGGGGGAAGGACCAACAAGCATAGTTCCTTCAACTGAGTACCTATCTTGTGAATATACTAAACATAAAATATTAAGGAATTTGTAAATACACAACACAAAAGACACAGCCCAACTTTGTATTGTAACATGTGTGACACGACTCAAGTATTTCTGGTTGTTATATGCCACTAGCCACCCCAGGGACCCTATTGGGGTATGAGGCAGGAGAATACATTTTGAAATAAATGAAACTTTTAAAAAGTCTAGCAGTTTATCCTTGCAGTTTATCCTTCTCCAAGCACCCACTAGATATTAGTTCACAGATACTGTAATGTACATGATTTCTCCACCTACCAATTGGCAGGTGCACCTGGAATCCCACTGTCTGGTGCTGGGACAAGCACAGCATTCCTCTCTTCTGTTAGCCCCACCCATTGTTCTACAAGCCGTGCTTCTCTTTCATCATCATCATCCGTTTTTACTGTAACACAAGAAAAAGGTGGGGAGAAAGAGACATACAACATGTTACATCCCTGGCCTTTAAGATACATTTTGCTCAGTATTTTATAGCAACAAAGTGGCAGACTGTGTTTAGATTACAACACATTTGAGTCAAACACACTGAAATGTTTTCCAGTGAAGTAAACAGTAATTCTACCCACTGGAGATGGATTTTCACTTTAAAACTCAAAGCTACCACAACTGTTGCTTATTTAGAAAGTTCCTTTCTACATCAACACTTTTTGAATAAGAATAGCTCCCGCCGGAAAGTGAACAAGCAGCTCCAGAAGGCACTGGAGGGTGGTTTGGGTCAATTTTTACCCCACCCGGGAATAGGGGTCCGCGACCCCGAGCTTTACCGGGAAGATGGTATACATTTGTCAGACAAGGGCAATCAGTTGTTTTTGGAGGACATCCGGCAAGGGATCAGGTCCGCATTGGGTGGTTTGGTGGCCGCGGCAGCCAAAGCAGAGGCTTGGCTTTGCGAGTGGCAGGGATAAGGCAGCGGAATTGGTGAGCACCTTAAGCCGTCCCGTCTTTCGGGAAATGGGGGGTCTTCAGGAACGGCTTGCGGGCTATTAAGGCCCCGGGTGGGGAATGGGGACCCCCTCGGGGTGCCTCTGGGGTAAAGCTCCTCTCTGCAAACTGTAAGGTTTCAGGGGTAGGTGCTCCCGGGAGGCGACCCGCGGCTGGGCTGCTGGTCGCAAGCCAGGCTAATGGGCCAGGACCGGGGTCGGTGCATCGCCCAGATGTATCAGACAAGGAGGCTGGTCAGCTTGACAACTGCCTTGTCTGTTCCGCTAGTCATGAAGCGTTCCCTTGCCGGATTGCTATTCTAAAATGTATGTAGTTAATAAAGTGGCCCTTGTTTAATCCAAATGGTTGTCTGGCTCGTTATTCCCCTGCGGGGGCAACTGTTGCTTATTTAGAAAGTTCCTTTCTACATCAACACTTTTTGAATAAGAATAGATTTACAAAAACCTGTAATGCATATTTGTTAAAAAGAGGCAAAGTGCTTGCAGAGTAAGTAGAACCACAAGGAGTACAAACCTTGTTTACTGCTGATTTTCTTAATCTGCTCATCTAAGTATTCTCTCCGTTTTATTAGTGCCTCAGACCACCTCTCTCTCACACAATTTAAGTCTTCTTCCTATTGAAGATAGAAATGTTGTTTGAACATTCAATATACTAAACCAAATATTTAATTTTATGCTGTACTGGAGAAGTTATTCACTTGTTTGATTACAGATACAGAAAAATGTAAACAGCTTATTTACTTTAGATGATTAAACAGCATATCGCCCAAGAAAAGTCTGCCAAACTTGCAAGTGGCAAAAAGACAAAAAGCTGGAATTATTGCATTTTCCATCATCTGAACTATTTGTGTATTTCATCTTGCATAAATTTGTGATTTAAATTCAAGCAGAAAAATAATGCAGTGGCCAAGGAACAATTTAGTAGCATCTGGAACTGAAGATGATTATAGAGATACCAATATAAGTACCCTTAAACCTGCATAAATTTAATTACTAGTAGCTGCCAGCAGTGCAACTAAATATTCCCCATGCAAACAAACCTCCATCATGCAATCATGCTTATAGAAAAGCTGGATCCTTTCTTCATAAAACATCATAAAGAAGCACCAAGGACAGCTTGCAGCAAGTTAGTAGCTAGTTTAAACTCATATGTGATGGTTACAGATCTGCCCCAAACATGTAGAAAGCAGATGGGACAGATCTAATTTAAAGAGTTAAGGGGACGTGGGTGGGGCATACTATTCCTGCAGTACCACCACCCCATCTGTACCCCAATGTTACTCTTCCATCAGCCAGATTCAATCCTGACAAATAAAATTGTGGAGTGGGGAAGAGACAGAAGCTGCAAAGAAGTAGGCAGGAGGTATTTAGGAGGGATCCTCTCCTTTCTATCTGTGCACCATTTTGATCCTTAAATTAGACACCTTCTGTTTTCTACATGATTAGAGCAGATCTGTTAATATAATGGGTAGTTTGAGCTTTAAGTTTCTGAAATAACTGTACAGCTTATCAGGCTATTGGGAAATGTCTGGATTTGTGCTACTGATAGTTTTGCTTCTTAAAAACTGAACCACTTTCAAAGTTGTAAAACTTTATTAAGGCTGCTGTAAATCCAGTCAAATATGAAAGATGGACAGTAAAAGCTAATTTAACAGTTTATGTTTTTTCCTACACTTCTATATTTTCATAATGCATATAGGGTTGGATGCTGATTACATTTTCCACTGTCAGAATGGCAGGGGTTCACTAGCTTACACTTCATGCTGCAGACCTCTAGACCGATTTCCCACAAGCGCTGCTCCACCCTCGCTCTTCTCTTCTCCCTGATCATATGTGTCAATTTCCCACTATTTGCTGTGCGGCCGCATTTTGCCCCACAGCTTCACCCTATTTCCCCCGCGTCTACTCGATCCTCAAAAAACAGGGAATGAATAGACGCGGGGGAAATTGGGTGAAGCTGCAGGGCAAAATGCCGCGGTGCAGCAAATAGTGGGAAATTGACACATACAATCAGGGGAAAGGGAAGAGCGAGGGCGGAGCAGCAGCTTGTGGGAAATCGGTCGTAGTGTCTCCCATGCTATTCCTCTCCCAAGGACAGCATTTCAGGTAGATCAGTGCGCTGCAGTAAGAGGGAAAAGGCAAAGAAGTTCCATTCCAATGAAAGAATTGCCTTCTGTTAGTGGGAAAAGTTAGTGGGATCCAACCCACTGTCATCTTAATAAAATCAATAACGAGTATGGATGTTGAATCATTATTTTACATGCAATTATGGTTTTACATGATGGAAGAAACCATTCTAGCTTTCTGTTGAATCCTCTCATGTAACTCACATGTACAGATAATCTAACATGTTGATAAAAGTAAACAGGAGTCTCTGTGGCACTTCAGAGTAACAAAATCTTATTCCAGCATAATGGACAACAGCCCACCTACATATGCAATTATAGTGAGAGAGGCCACATGAGAAAACACAGTGTACAGTCAAATTACATTGGAATGGCTTGTTCTGTAATCAACAGAAGCCTTTGAAGGAAGACAGTATGTCAAAGCTTTTTTGTGTGTATCAGTAGTCATCTACAGTCCCTTTCAGAATTAAAAACTATTAGCATTAGCTGTGCCTCATGCCATGTGATTTGACAGCAACAGCAGCAATACCTGATAACTATCCATATCACCATCATCATCATCATCTCTCTGGTAGAAAAAAATAAACTTTGTAAACATAAAGAACATGCATTTTTCTTGGCAACACACCACAAATAAAGATCATTTACAAATGTAAACGTAGACACAAATTAATTAAAAATAAGTCTGGCAAATTTAACATCAGTTCTAATGTTACTGCCAGTGGACCACTAAAATGGAGGGAAATCATATGGGTGCCCCTCCCCTCTATCACGAACTTCAAGCAATGTATGAAACAGGGTTTCTGCACCAATACTGATTCCACAAAGCAATAATTCATTCACCAGATTACGTTCCTCATTCCTGGAGAGGAATTGGATGAAATCAGCTGCCACAAAAGTTGATGGTGGTGCACTGATCACATATTTTGAGGGGAGGGGATATTAGATTTAGTCCCCTCACAACAGGTTACTAGAAATGTCAAAGACTTCCTCACCAGACATCCACTAGAGATTGTGTACATTAAACTATGCATATAGCTCTAAGAACTAGACACATTTTTTTTAAAAAAAATCAATTTCAGTTCAGCAAGTAAAGCCATTGTTGGCTCACCCTCCCCAGACCAGAGAGCATTGGTTCCTTACAGTCTGAGTTTACTATCATATATTTGGTAGGACTCTGATATTGCCATGTGACACTTTCACAGGTATATCAGAGAAAGACCAGTTACAAAGAACTAAAGTAAGTGCACAATTGGGTGTAAAACCAGACTAAACAACAGTAAGTAAAACAAATCAGTTATCAGGTAAGAAGCAGATAAAAGTGATTATTTCCCTAGAGACATGATGAATATTAAGCATGGTTTCCATAGTTAAAGAATCTGACTTCAAGGTACAAAATGAAATTCAAGACCAATAAATTCAAGACCAATAAATTCAAGTATTAAAAAGCATAAAATGGGACAATGCCAATTGCTTTCTATAAAATGCTGACTTTTTTCAGGCAGGGACTGACAACCTTTTATCTTGCACAAAGCTTAGTATGCCATTAGCATTATCTAAATTCTTAGTAATAGTAGATGCCAGCATTTTCTTGCATATTATAGATTTCAGGCCATTGTTCATTTAGTTTTGTTTTCTTTTTGTTTTCTTTTTGGAATACTTTTTAAATTAACAGGTTCTTTTACAACTTCCAGCATAATGTATAGCTGTGTATGGTAAGAGTTTTTTGGTATGTCTTAAATCCAATCAGGTCAATTAAATCCACTGGATTCACTTATATAAGCATGACCCCCCGTTATTGCATTACCTGTGCATAATTTTGTAGACCTTGATCACGTCACTTTTCAGTCATCTTTTTTCTAACCTAGAAAAAACTCAGTTGCTTCAGCCTGGCCTCACAGGGCACGCACACTAGCCCCATAATCATTGCCTTTTACTGCACTTTTTCCATGTCTTCAATATCCTTTTTTGAGACATGATGACAATATAGTAGCTAGGGCAAAGGCTTAAGAAAGGAAATATGTGGGGTGAGTTGGGGTGGCTATAGCAGTCTAGACAAGTGACCAAAGCAAGGAAATAATAGTAATAGGTAGGGAAAAGATGGCTGATAAGGAGCCACCAAGTGAATTCTCATCCAAGAATACTTTGGTGCTATGAATATTAATGCCAGACAGAGTACTGATACAGTTGTCTTAAAAGTTGAAGTCCAGGTGTTAGAGAATAATCATCCCAATAACTTCCAGACTTTATTAGTTAAAGGTCCTCAATTTGGAACCATTCTATGTGTAAATACATATATTCCTCCTAATGGCTCAGATTCACAGGTTGGGGGGGGGTGTGCTTTTGAGATGCACTATAAGGAGCTGCGGTGGCTCAAGTGGTTAAGACGCTGAACTGCAGGCTGTGGAAGGTCAGTAGTTCAGCAGTTCGAGACCTGAGTGTGCCGCATGATGGAGTGAGCTCCCGTCTCTAGTTCCAGCTCCTGCCAACCTAGCAGTTCGAAAGCAAGAAATTGCAAGTAGATAAATAGGTACCACTTCAGTGGGAAGGGAACAGCGTTCCGAGCGCCTTGGTGTTTAGTCATGCCGGCCACATGACCACGGAAATGTCTTCGGGCAGCGCTGGTTCTTCGGCTTTGAAACGGAGATGAGCACCGCAACCCTAGAGTCAGATTCGACTGGCTTTCGAGCAAGGGAACCTTTATCTTTACCTAACTGTAACACTAGAATTGTTGATCTCCCAACATTCCATCCTCCACATTATTTTATGTGGAGATTTTAACGCAAGAATAGGTTCAGGAGAAATAGACCTAAGAGCTGGCTTGCTGTGCATGCACACTTCTTTGACTGCTCAGCAAAGGATGTGGTGGTAAATAAGTTTGGTTTAAAACTTTTGGAACTGTTCTCTTTGACTAACTTACAAATTCTTCACAGTACGACAAAGGAAGGTCTTGCATAGCTCATATCCTTAAAGGGCAAAAAACACAATAAGTCTGTATCAGACTGTAATAATTCAATAGTTAATACCCATTATCCTACCTGGTAACTGTCCAAGCCCCTCTGTAATTTGGTTGACCTGGCAGTCACACAACCAATAGAAATTGAGAGAATGGCTTCCACCATAAGCGGCAGTGTTCCTGAATGCTGCACTGGGCTGACTGTCACCTGAACTCTACGAGAATGGCCCTGGTTACATAAACAGAATAAAAAAGTTAAAGCATAGCAAAGAACTATTGCTACATTCACACAATTTCCTAAATGGAGAAAAATACACTGTACCTGTCTAAGCTGGAAAATTCCTCCTGTATTTACATCCTTTGCCTGGTGGAGTTCCACAGCTGCATAATCCCCCATTTCATTCAGTTCTTGAATTGAAACCCACATTTCAATTCTCCGTGTTACTTCATTCCACCTATTTTTAAAGACAATCCAATAAGCAGTAAGAACTGTACTAATGTTCTGCTTAATATGTCAGTAGAACATATCTAGAAGCATCTTCTCTCTCCTAGCTACACATGTTTTTTCATGTACACCTTCTCTACATCCCTCACATATTTATTGCACCATTATTCTCATCCCCAATCCAGTTACTCATGGCACATGTGCACTGTCCCCTCCCCCCCAAACATACTATTTGTGGTGAGGCTTCACCACCAGCAGAATAATATAAACTTAGTGTTACCTGTCTCTCAAGGACCTGGTTTTTGCATGAAGAGAATCCACCTCCCATACAGAACTGCCATTTCCAGCACAGCGGTGACCCCATACTTCAATAGCAAGTGCTCCATCTGCCATGAACTCCAGAAATTCTTCTGTTACGTTTACTGTGTACTCCTGAATAGTTGAAATATTTATTGCAGTTAACTGATCATAAATTTTGTCAATAGTTAGTGATGGGGGGGGGGGAACTATAGCATATATTCAGTTTGCAAGCTCTAACAGGGCACTGTTGTAAAAGCTCCTAGTGGAAGCAAATAATTCCAGAAACCTATTCACATGTACATTTCTTTCTTTCTTTTTTTTTAACACAAGTAAATTTCAATATTCACATTTATTAATTTGTGAAACAGCCCAAATCCAAACATTTTATTGTTGAGGAACATAACAAATGTAATATTCTTATATTTAAAAGAGGCAAAATACGCATGTTCTTGCTTCTGAGGTCATGAATGGCTCAACAAAATTGACCCATGGTACTAGTAGCATGGATGCATGGCATCACTACCCCAAATGAGAGAGGTTTAAACAAGGATGGGAGAACCCTTGAATGGAGAGATCAGGCACTGATCACTTCCCTGGTACCTGCATTACATATACGATTAGAAAAACTGTTCAGGACATGGGCTGTCTAGGAACCAGGTAGATGATTTCACCTTGGATTCTCTGATACTTAAGGAAAAAATTGCAGATTTCAAAAAATTCTACCAGCCCTACCCGAGTCAGACAAAGAAGAGAGCAGGTTTAAATCATTATTTTGTTTTCTATTTTTCTGATATTCTGATATTCTCACCTTGATGGTTTTAATCACCAAGTTACTTTGCAATTTAACCACAGGTGTTAAAAACTGCACTCACATGACATGGAAAACTGCTCAGATTGTTTGGGCTTCATGACTTCTTGGAACAATCCTTGTTCCAAGATCAGACAAGGGAATTCCAACCCAGCTGGAACAGATGAGGTTGCTTCAAGAGCGAAGGAACACCTTTACCAGCTGCACAGTCTTGCTGAGGCTTTCCCCCACTTCCTGCTGTTCAGGTACCTATAAAGCTTGGGCACAGCCAGAGATGCAAGCTGAAGGACTCTTGGCCCTTTGGCTCTTAAGACCACGGCTTTTGCATCCTAGGCCTTCAGAGGATCCAGCATCTGAGACCAGGACCTGTCCATGATTTAGTTTACTGTTATGTTGCTATTATGTTGTTTTTTGGATTGTGTGTACAGAGCCTTTTTTGCCATAAGCTATTTTGGATACCTTCAGGGAGAAGAGTGGGGTATAAAATAAAGACCTAAAATAAAGCAGATCTTTACCATGGCACTTGTTTTCAGGATAAACCAGGGTCACTAACACCTTTCTGGAGACGCCTAGTGAAAATCAGTTTTGGGTAGTGTACTGCAGTAAGTTAGGGCAGTGCTGGTTTGTATGTGAACAATACAGTTCCTCACACGCCCCCTCTCCCATTCTCCAGTGGTCGGGGGTGGTGGGGAATCATGACTCATGGGTAGAAGCTGCCCCTGGAGACAGGCAAGGTCATCAGTGTTTTACTGACTCCTAGTGGGAGGGGCTTCTCTCACAATTCCCAATTTCAGTCCTATCTGGCTTGCAGACAGGTGGGCATCTTACTGGGCATGTTAAACCACACAGCTTCCTTGTTTTCTCTTTCCCTCTTTGACTGTCTTGAGGGGATCCACCTTCTGTTGCTGCAGGAGCAGGGTTAGGGATGCCCTTCTGGCATACCCTCCCCTTCACTCCAAGGTTCTCTCCCTGGAAGGGGAGGAATGCTGTGGGGCCTCCGTGCTTTGGCCAAGAGCTTCCTCTGTTCCTCCCTCCGAAGACATGAGGCTGCTGCTGAGGAAACGTCTGTCCCTCAGGATTGGATTGAAGAATGCTCTGACTGCCTGTCCTCGGTCTAGCTGAGAAGGGGCTCTGAGGCTTGTGATGCTATCTTCACATCACCCTGGTATCCTGGAAGCCTGTAGCTAAGCGTATCCTGTTTTGCCAGAGTCATCCTTTGGGGTCAAGGTAGTTAAAGAGGGCAGCAAGATGGAGCTTGTGATGCTCTCTCCTTTGGGCTGAAGTATTTGGGCTGGAGTATTCATCAAAGCACTGGTTTCCCTGGTCACACTTCTGCGTACATCCAGAATCTCAGTCTTCCTTTACCTGGATCACATCCTCATCAGGTCCCACTACTTTCCCAGGCATCGGTGAAGGTGGACTGGACCATTTCCTGGCTCATTCCAGTACAGCAGATCAATCAATTAATTTATCAATCAATTTATTTCTACAGTCCTTAGACCAGTCATACAAAAAGAAGTACAACTTTACAATATTCCAAGATTTTGAGATACATCAGTGACACATTAAAAGCAAATTAAAATTTAATCTAATATCAAACAACTATATCTAACTAGCTACCTTAGAGTTTCCGTGATCTGACTATCACCATAAAGAAACTGGCTACTTGGTGGGTAATTTTGGGGTTTCTATCAGATAAAGAAACTCGAGTCTAGCTTTTCGGAAAGACCCAGAATTTGTTCAGTCAGCGGAGTGATTTTATTATGCGCCACCTTATAATACGGACATCTAAAAAACATGTGCTCTGTAGTCTCAACCTCGCTTAATGGGCAGGTACAAAGCCTTTCTGAGAAAGGAGTATTCTTGTATTTTCCTTCAAGCACAGCAGATCCTCCACCTGGACATGACCTTGCTGAGCACCAACAAGATCAAGGTGCTAATACAGGAAGTGGTGCAGGAATCTCAAGAGTCCCTCTCGACTCTGGCAAGCCTCCTGGGCATGTTAGTGTCTTGCCAGGATGTTATCCCATGGGCCAGGTTCTAACAAGGGGGAGCTTTTACACATGACTGTCCCACCCTAGAACCACTGAGAAGAGAACTTCATGGTAAGTGAACAACTTTCCTTTATCCGTGCAGGATAATGGTATTATATACTTAAGTTCAATGTGTTCTCTAAAACAAAACCACAAAATAATTACCTTACAATGTGAGAAAATGACTGTAAACTGGGCCTCCTTGCTTTGAGGTGAAGGCACATCTGGATCTACAACTGGTGCTGCAACAGTTGGCTCACATTGATCCCAGAAGGTATATTGACAGAACACAAAGTTTGAGAGATTCAATGGTAGACCCGTTGCCTCTTTAATTTTTACCTAGAAAACAAGAGAAGTGAAATTCAGCAATTTCAATGCTTGGTAGTTGTTTCAAAATAAAATAACCAGTTATTTAGTGGAGAATTAGGATTTGAATAGCTACACAGATACATACAGTATTTTCTGATACCGACTTTAGCCAAGGAATGTGTATTTCCCATAAACTTAAAAAATGAAGTTTGGCTTTAAAAAATTCAAAAGTAAAGAACAATGAATACACATGAAAGCATCACCAAAAAAAGTGTCCTGGCTCACACATTTTTCTCTTAGCTCAGGAAGGATGGCTCCAGAGCAAACTAATTTATGCAGTAGCCAAATTGCTCACTCACAACTTTAATGCCAGTGGCTCACAAAGTAGAATTATTGCTAGCAAGACTCCACAGCTTAGAGGGAGCATTTAGGGTTGCTATAGAAACAAGGAAAATAGCAAGTTGTAGCAGGATGATGGAGGGAAGGACACGGATGAGAGTGTAGCAGGGAGAGGAACCAGGAAACAGACAAAGTGGCAACTAGGAGATGGTGTGGGGAATGGGAGACAGAAGGAAGAGGATGGGGAAATGGCACAAGCAGCAAGAAGGGAAAAAGAGAGGACAAAGAAATGGAAATAGCAGGGGGAATGGACCACTGGGGAGAGGAAAAGGAATTTCTCCTGCCTTATGAGTCCTTGTGGGTCCCCACTCGTATTAAACAGATCAAAATAATTGGAACTGTTTTGAAAGTAATCCATGTGCATACATGCATATCACCAAGGGCAGCACTGCTGATTTTATATGCATATTATCTAACCATAGTTCTGTTATGGAGTTATCACATCTTTTAAATGAAAACTAATTTAGTCAACTGATTACTTTACCCACTATTCAAGCAGAAGGCTCTTCTAACACTGTAAACTTTACAGCTGTGGCAAGGATTTTTTTAGTATGAACACAGACCCCACAATGACTATATTGAGATCTCTCATGCTGTACGCACTATAGCACTGGGATTGGCCCAGCGGCAGAAGCATTTCCGACAGCAGCAATGTTTTTGTGGGTTTTTAAAAAAATAATCCCAAATAAGTCCAAGTATTTTATTTTGCCAAAGTATTTCTCCTTTTAAATATTAGTGAATAAGTGGTAGTAGTACTCTAACCCTGCAGATGAGTTTTTTAGGCCTGTGAATAATCTCTCCATTGTTGTCCATGATCTCAAGGCTTCCACTTTCACTGGAGTTTTCAGAAGAGTCGTCTTCTGCCACACGCTCAGGAACAGCACCAGTGACACGCATCACTTCGATGTGCAGACGTCCTGCAACCTACAGCGCAAAAACATTTTGGAGATCTGAACATACTAGGTTAACACCAGTCACTCACCTAACAGACATGTATATATGAACACATACACAAACACACATTTCTATCTGAATCTTCCAAAACTGAGAGGAAGAGGAAGACGAGGAGGAGGAACAAGAGGAAGAAGAAGAGGAGGAGGAGGAAGAGGAAGAAAAAGAGGAGGAGAAGGAAGAGGAAGAAGAAGAGGAGGAAGAGGAGGAGGAGGAAGATTGGATTTATACCCCACCACTACCCGAAGGAATCTCAGGGTGGCTTACAATCTCCTTTCCCATCCCCTCCCCACAACAGACACCCGGTGAGGTAGGTGGGGCTGAGGAGCTCTTTCCAGAGCTGTCCTTGAGAGAACAGCTCTGACAGAACTATGGCATGCCCAAGGTCATCCAGCAGCTGCAATTAGAGGAGTGGGGAATCACAGTTCTTCCAGATTAGAGTCTGCACACTTATCCACTACACCAAACACCTGTGCAAAAATGTTCAAATCACATACTATCGTTCTCATATTTGTCTCAGAACGCACTGAGGCTACAAAAGTACATGTAAGCACCAGACTTCTATAGACAGACTCACAAAGAGCCACTGTGGAGTAGTGGTCAGTTACAGTGTTAAAGAAGCACCTGGAAGACCCAGGTTCGAATCCCCACTCTGCCATGGGAGCTCGCTGGGTGACCTGGGGCCAGTCACACACTCTCAGCATAATCAACCTCATACTGCTGTTTTGAATGGAGGAGAGGAGAACAATGTAAACTGTTTTGCCCACCCCACCCCCAATTGGGGAGAAAAGCAGGATATAAATGAATAAAATAAATAAGTTCTGGTTTGCTTAGTCAAGTAGCCTCACAATTTACCTATTTAGTAGTAAAATGAAAGCTGCTGTTATTCCCAACAGCAGTTACTCAGTTCTTTTTATTTTGCTACTAAAGGCTGGTTGGACAGCCAAGGTCCTACAACCAAAGAGCTGGAGGACGAGTTTCATTCAGTACTCAAAATTTAACCCCTTACTTCCTGTCCACCACTTTAGGTTTCCTGGAGCTCCAAAGTTCTCCTCGTATGTCCACTCTGTTCTGTTGATAATGCCATAGGACTGTTCACTGGGATCGTTGTGGTTTTCCTTCAGCCTCCTATTCTCATTGGACATCAGCTTACTGCGTAATTCCTCCTTCCCTTCAAGCCACATACACATTGCCTCCTTTTGAGCCAAGGACTAGAAAAGGTTGCAACACCAGCAACAATGCAAATAAGGACTGCACAATGCACACCTCAGAAAGCAACATCTCTTTGGCTCTTTGTGGCAAAGCATCACCATCACAAACACAGAACCACCTAGGCAGCACCAATAATTTAACCTTACCTCCCCCTGCTGGCTAATTATTGGCACTGCATACTGAAGTTTAACATCACAGAAAAGGCACTCCAAGAAGACATTTGCGACACCAATTAAATTGTGGTTTTCTTGTGCTTCATAGAAAGGGTCACCTTTTTTGCCAGCGTGTCTCTTCACCTGTTTTTTAAAGGCAATATTTGAAAAGTGACAAAAGTATAAACAATAATTATTAGATACCCTATAAGGTTATACAACTATGTGTAGAACAAAGAGAGAAGCAGAGGTAGCCACTGAGAGACTTCAGACCCTGAACCGTGTATTTCTACATGTTTCATTACCTGTGTTAGAATCTAATAATTGTGATGACTAAAGCTTATATGATAAAATAAGAAGAATCTAGACTTTCAGGAATTCTAGTTACATATAGAATTCTAAAATTCTTCACACAAAATTCAACATGTGTGAAACTGCCACACTTCTTTCTGTTTTAGGAAATATGAATTTTATACAAGATAATATTTTTACCACTGCAAGCAAGAAAATGAAGCTTAACACAAAAGCAAACCGCAGAAATCTAAGTCATATGAGCTATTGCCAATCCACTTAAAATAGCAGGTTATATTGCTGATAATTTTGTAGGGATAGATTATGGAAGAAAACTAAAATTTCTCATGGGGTGGCAAGTAATGAAAATTGTAAGGGTTTATGACTAATCATACACTATTCCCTGTACACAGAGAGAAAGGGTCCAAGAGAGAAATAACTTAAAGCAATATTCAATAAAACATGCGTATCCAAACACAGCTTTATAGAAACAATACATTTCAAATAAATTCTATGTAGTCTATTCTTCCCAGACCTAGATGGCACAGACTGGCCTGATCATCTCAGATCAGGGCCGGCCCTCAATAGTTCTTGGATGACCACCATTAGTACTTGAAGACCACCAAGGAAGTCCAGGGTTGCTACACACAGGCAGGCAATGGCAAATCACCTGTTTGTCTCTCGGCTTTCAAAACCCTACAGGGTCACAGTAAGTCAGCTGTTACTTGATGACACTTTCCTCCACCAGTCATTTCTTAAATGCATACCCAATTTTAAGATGCAATCAGATGGGGGCAATGGTGTTTGAAAAACAGTGCAGAGTTTACCTCATAAAATTGGTTCATGTGCACTCACTTAATGTCTGACATTAAAAAGGTTGTATGTTATGCTTGGTAGTTGGTTGATTTAAATTTGGTGTTACGAGCTACTTCTCTAATCCAACATAATTGAGAAGTATTTTTGTATGACGTTCTATGCATCTTATACGTTCAGTGTCTTACTTATCACAAGGTTGTACGATACTGATGTGTTCTTGTTTTGTGTATATATTGTAATAAACTCAATAGCATAAAAAATAAAACATGCAACAATTGTATATGTAGTTTACAGACACACTCTTCTTAAAAACAGTGTTGGGGGAAGCATGTTGGCAACGCTGAAAATTTATGGTTTATTACCTCATGGACTCTCCCCTTCCATTCTTGATACAGATCTCTCATGTCAATTAGCTTATTCTCCAGCTTCTCAATACTCCAGACCTGAGTGCTTTTTCCTTTCCTTCTGACTTGAATAGCTGGTTCACTTACTATCACCCCTCTCTGAGTGGTAAAATAGGCGTATTAAAGAAGCATTTCAATTTTCATTATATTCTCAAGCATTTCTAAAATACCGTATATTATCTACTCTCCATTACTTTTCCTGAACTCATATGTAAGAGTGCTGGGTGACACTAGTCTTAAAAAAAACACATTTTACATAATGCATATTTCTATTTTTACAACATATTTTCATATCAGAAGTTGTCAGAAAAAGTTCAGAATAACTAAATAGATCAGAAGGCACATGCTATCTATCTATTAATACATATCTATAAAATATATAAATATATATAAATTTATAAACATATATTTATAAAATATATAAATATAGATACATAGCTATATATCTAAATCTGCAAATTTGGGCTGCACTAACCCATTTATTTGTATGTCAGTAAGGTACCACTTCGGTGGGAAGGTAACAGCATTCCGTGCACCTTGGTGTTTAGTCATGCCGGCCACATGACCACGGAAACGTCTTCGGACAGCGCTGGCTCTTCGGCTTTGAAACGGAGATGAGCACTGCAACCCTAGAGTCGGATTCAACTGGCTTTCGAGCAAGGGAACCTTTACCTTTACTTAAGCTATAGTACTATATGCAGATTACACCTTTGTTCATACAAATGAAACGCTGTTTGCATTTGCCTTTACTGGATTTCTGAGTTGGCCCTTGATCAAAATTAAAGCTAATACTATTGTGGATTATTTCCACTTCTAATGGCATCTAGCATTTCCTCAGTATAAAGCTAAAAATCACTACTGTTAAGAGTCACAGTCAATGTTCCCTCTAAGCTGAGTTAGTGTGAGCTGTTATTTAGCCACCAGCTCACACATTTTTGTCTTTGCTCGGGAAGGATGGCTCCAGAGCAAACTAAGTTATGCAGTGGCCAAATCACTCGCTCACAACTTTAATGCCAGCAGCTCACAAAGTAGGATTTTTGCTCACAAGACTCCACAGCTTAGAGGGAGCATTGGTCACAGCACAGGCATGAAAGTCATGTCTCTGTGGTGTATGTGTATAATTGAAGAATACTGAGAGAGAAAGATTACAGAAGCAGTAACCGCTGGGTTGGCTCCAAAGTTCAGATTTAACAAATGGAAAATAATTCCATCAGCAGAACAGAACTTTTCTGCTTCTTCTCCCCCACTGCAGCCCTTTAAGGCTCTCAAAAATGTGGTTTCTGGGGTACAGGGGACTCCCAGAAATATTATGAGGGACAAATGAGAGGGGGAAATCAGAAAAACTCACTCCCCCTCCACGGACAATCCAGTCTGTGTATTTAGTGCTTATAATTTCTCTATTTTCCCACACACATGTACAAAAGAAGTACCATACTTTATATCTGGACCCAAATGACTGCTTCTTTTGAAGGCTAAGAAAACATGCATCTTTCAGTTTTCATTTCTTACCTTCCTGTTAGCACTCAGATTAGCAGCAGGGATCTGCAGGGTCACTTGATAATCTGTTAGTTTGCTCATTTCTTCTGCTAAGAAGTTTGCTTCCCTCACTAGTGTATTAGCTTTAACTATCTGCTCTCTTAATTTAGCTAGGCTCTGTCGAAATAACTCATCCCTGTAGGAAAACAGAAAATGGAAAACAAAGGAACCTATTATTAGTAAGAAAAAAGAAAAAAAAGGTTATCTGGGAGATTTGGGAGGGTCTTTTATTAAGAAATCACTAAGATAATCTTAATAAATGTAATCATAAATTTACAGTCTAGAATGTTATGTCCAATGTTTTCAAGAGGTCATAACATCAGTTACTAGTCCAGGTAGACACCCTATTTAAAACAAAAATACTAAAACCATCTCTACATTTTCTCTGTACGATTTGAATATGTTGCACAGACGGAATGATTTCCTTCATGAATTTCTGCTGAAAAAGAGCTTGCCACAGTGGTAGATATCCTGGAACATCCAAACTACTGCAATGCTCTCTGCATGGGGCTGTACTTGAAGAGTATCTGGAAGTTAAACTGTTGAAGAATGCTGCAGCAAGAATTCTGGTGGAAGTAGGGACCACAGAACTCCAGTCTTGTTCCACCTACACTGGCTCCCAATTTGCTTCCAGGCCTCTTTAAAGGAGCTGCTATAGACATTTAAAGCCCAGTATGACTTGGTGGCAGCATACCTTAAGGATCATCTACTCCAATATGAATGTACCTGAATGCTACAGTCATCTTTGAAGGCCAGGCTTTGGAAGGTAGGTGGAGGCAACTCAAGAACAGGCCTTCTTGGCTGTGTCACTAAAATGATGGAACTCTCCCCTCAGAGAGATTCATCTAATGTTGCCAGGCCCCTGGTCTGGGCGGGGTTTCCCAAACTTTTGTGGGCCCCTTTCCAGCTGGCCACCCACCCACAAATGGCCCCCAATGCCATAATCACATTCCTGACATTGGGGGGGGGGGGTTTGATGCTCTAGTTTTGGGGCAAAACTGTATGGTAAAATTGGGCTCAAACCATAGAGTTTTGCCCAAAAACAAGAGCGTCACCTCCCGATGTCAGCAATACGATGACATCACTTTTGGGTGATCTCACTGCGGCGTGCACTAGAGGATCCTGGAACAGACCAGGAAGCCCCGCCACTGGAAGCCAAGTAGGACCTGGCAACCCTAGATTCATCTGTCCCTCTGTCTTCCACCAGTGGATGGATACTTTTCTATTTTGTTTGGCAGTCTCTCACTGATCCTTCCATTCAGGTGTTTTAATAATTTTTAATGGCCTTATACATACCCATGGGTGTTTTAAATGTTGTTTTAATGTTTTTATTTTTTGCCAGCTTGAGGACTCTAAATTGTGTGGGAAGGTGGCTTTACAATGTTTTACAGTGTCTTCTTACCAGCTGCTTTAATCCAAGCTTTTTGTAACCAAGATGGCGACCGGGAATGAGCTCAGGTGCTCGAGCTTCTCCATTATAAGTAATTTAATTTAATCTAATATGTCCTACCAAGCAAGGAATACCAGGAGCTGGTGGGGATTACAAGCTCTGCAGCGCCCGAAGGCTCTGGAACGACGAAATTTATCGCCCCCTTCCTCCCTGGCGCGGCCTACATCCAGCAACGCTGTCTGCGGGAGCTGCAGTACAGTGTAAGGGCCTCTTGAGACATCTATCGCCGTGCTCCCAGTGCGGTGCAAGCCCGACCGCGGGGCTGGGAGGAGTCGGTGCTCAGCGCGGAGGCCCTCATGTACGCTTGCTTTTCCACTCTTGGGGTGGGGCAAAAACACGGGCACGACTGGGAGGTTCTGCAGGGCAGCACGGGGCTCTCCTAGACGATGCTCAAGAGGGCCGTGGGGTACCTAGGACCCTGTTCATCTGGGCTGACTGCGAGACCACCATCTCGACGGGACCAGTGAGCGGCTACCATTGGAGCGGCAGGTGCAGTTTCCAAAGCGCCTGGGAGTGTGGAGCCGACGGAGGAGATGACGTAGCGGAGGCCAGCGACAAGGGGACCAGGAGGAGGTCTTTACTTTTCTTGGGTCCCTTTGGTGGGCTGAGCAACGAGTAGTCCCTTTGGCAGGCTGGGCGGCGAGTGGTTAGCTCACGGAGATCGTTGTGCTCGAGTCAACTGGGGGACACAGAACATTGGCCTTTTGGGTCCCTCCAGCTGGACTGGCGTTGTGGAATGGGTCCCACAAATGGACTGTGATCTTCTTGCCCTAAGTCCCCACGATTGGGTGGATAAATCGGACTGCAAGGCTGGAAGGCCTCTGTATTGCAGCCGAGAAGAGCTGAGGACTCAAAACCAAGCGAAGCCCTCTAGTGGCGAGTATTGGGAACTTCTTCAAGGGCTGGAAGTGACAGTGGATACCTCCAGTCTGGAACAGCTGTAGATGTAATATTCACTCTGTTTTAGCAATCGTTGTGTGTGTTTTGAAGTAGTGGGGGTGGGTGTATTGGTTTTGTCTACTAGGGGAAAGTTGATGAGTGCTGCGGGATGAATGAATGTGATTGTGTGTTTGAGTCTTTCAGGGATTTAAGTGTGTAGGTAATTAGGTTCCCTGTATGACCATTAGGTCAGGCAAATTGTATTTTGTTTGCAGCACTTTGATTGCATTTGGTAGCAGAGGAGTAGGTAGCATTTAGTCTGTTGCATTAGGAGTGAATCTGTGATCTTTCTGTTGTTGTAGGAAATGTCTGGACAGCAGATTCCGGTGCTCTTGGGGAGGGGGAAGTATTGCGGTGGGCCTAGACGGGGTTTTAAGGGAAGGACGCGGAGAAATGGAACGGCTCGGCACCCTTCCAGCCTACGGCCCATCCCAAGGGGGGCCGGCAGTGGGGCCAAGATGGAGAACCCCCCTCCGTCATTGGTGTTGTGCAACAGCAGGTCTATCAACAACAAAGCCACAATCCTCCGGGACTTCGTAATGGAACAACAGGCTGACCTGGCGTGCGTGACCGAGATCTGGGTGAGGGAGGGGGAGACGGTAGCTCTCGCCCAGCTTGCCCCACCTGGTTTCTTGGTCCTCCACCAATCATGGACTAGGGGGTGGGGGGGAGGAGTGGCTATTTTCATTCGGGAGGCTTACTCCTTCAGGGCACTCCCGGCCAATGATCCCTCTAAGCTGTGGAGTCTTGAGAGCAAAAATTCTACTTTGTGAGCTACTGGCATCAAAGTTGTGAGCAAGCAATTTGGCTGCTGCATAAATTAGTTTGCTCTGGGGCCATCCTTCTCGAGCTAAGACAAAAATGTGTGAGCCAGAGGCTAAAAAACTGTGAGCTAGCTCACACTAACTCAGCTTAGAGGGAACACTGCTCCCGGCTGTGGAGATCGTGGGCACGGAGTGTGTCGGGGTGATGCTGGTGGCTGAAGAGAGTTTGGCGATTTGGTTGGCCAATAGCCTGCCGTCCCTGCTGGAGGCTGTATCATGCTGGGCGTTGGAGCACCCTAGGCTGATCATCTTGGGTGATTTCAACGTCCATGCTGAGGACGTGGCCTCCAGCCAGGCTACAGACCTAGTGTCGTCCATGGCGGCACTGGGACTCTCTCAACTTGTTAAGGCCCCCATGCTAGTCACACGCTCGATTTGATCTTCGCGGCTGGGGTGATGGTGGACTGGATCACTGCGGAGGCAGTGTCATGGTCGGACCACCAGGCCCTGAAGGTCCATCTGAATCTTCCACCCCAACTCTGTTTAGGCGGCGAACGGATTTTTGCTCGCCCGCGCTGCCAAATGGACCCTATGTGACTCCAGATGGATTTGCGGGATCCGAAGCCCCCTGGAGATTCGTTGGATGAGCTGGTGGAGGACTGGCAGGACCGGCTCTCCTCAGCCATCAACGAGATTGCTCCCAGGCATCCTCTCCGCACTCATTCTAGGTGGGCTCCCTGGTATACACAGAAGCTGCATCAGCTGAGACGACTAGAGAGACAGTGGCATCGTGCTCGCGACGAGGCTTCAAGAACATCCTATAGGACACTTATGAGATCCTATGAGATGGCAGTCGAGGCCGCAAAGAGAGATTTCTATGCGACCATGATTGCATCTGTTAGCTCACGCCCGGCCCAATTATTTAGTACGATTCAGTCTTTGACAGCTCTGCCACAGGGCAGGCAAAATGCTAGGGAATTGGACATCGGTTGTGAGGCTTTTGTGAGCTACTTTCCAGAGAAAGTCTTGTCGCTCCGCCGTGACCTCCCCGCTACAATTGATACAGTGAGTGAACTTGAGGCCCCCTGCACGTCTTTGGTGCCGGGTTTAGTGAGTTTTAGCCCACTCAGCCTGGAGGAAGTTGACAGATTGCTCGTATCTGTGCAACCAACTACATGTAACCTTGATCCGTGCCCCTCCTGGCTCATTAAAGCGGGTCGCGAGGGGTTTCGAGGTGCCCTGCGGGAGATTGTCAACAAGTCCCTCTTGGAGGGACGGTTCCCCAGGGCAATCAAGGAAGCAATGGTCCGCCCTCTCTTGAAATAACCATCTCTGGAGCCGGCCGAATTGGCCAACTATCGGCCGGTGTCCAATTTGCCCTATTTGGGCAAACTTATTGAGAGGGCGGTGGCGATACAGCTACAGGGCTTTCTAGATGACGCTTCTGTCCTCGATCCCTTCTAGTCCAGCTTTCACCCTGATCATGGGACAGAGACGGTACTGGTCGCTCTGACTGACGACCGCCGTAGGCATCTGGATCGTGGCGGCACTGTTGTTGTTAGATCTGTCGGCCGCATTCAACATGGTCGACCACCAGTTGCTAGCCCACCGCCTTGCCAACGTGGGGATTCAGGGGCTTGCCATTCAATGGTTTGCCTCTTTTCTCCAAGGTTGGGGACAAAGGGTGGCGATAGAGGGTCAGCGGTCCCAGAGGCGGCCTCTTGAATGTGGGGTGCCTCAGGGGGCGGTGCTATCCCCGATGTTGTTTAACATCTACATGTGCCCCCTTGCCCAGATTGCCCAGAGTTGTGGGCTTGGGTGTCATCAATATGCAGTTGACACCCAGCTCTATCTAATATTGGGCGGCTGGTCGGACTCCACCCCGGATGACCTTCATTGGGCATTACAGGCCGTGGCTGGTCGGCTCAGACTGAGTCGGCTGAAACTAAACCCAGCGAAGACAGAGGTCCTGGGTTTGAGTCGGATCGGTTCAGGGTTGGGGCTCCCTCTCCCAACCTTCAATGGGGCGCCTTTGGTGGCAGCATCGGAGATTAGGAGTTTGGGTGTGCTCCTGGACTCCTCTTTAACGATGGTGGCCCAGGTGGCAGCCACTGCCAAGTTGGCCTTTTACCATCTTCAGCTGGCGCGGCAGTTGGTCCCTTTCCTTGACCGTGATGACCTGGCCACAGTGATCCATGCTGGTTCTTACCTTTAAAGCCCTATATGGCCAGGGTCCGGCTTACCTAAGGGACCGCCTTTCCCCGCATGTTCCCCCAAGGACACTACGGTCGGGGAGTCAAAATCTCCAGGACATTCCAGGCCCCAGAAACATCAAATTTGCTGTCACCAGGGTCAGGGCGTTTTCGGTGGCGACTCCTACCTGGTGGAACGAGCTCCCAGAAGAGATCCAGGCCCTGCGGGACATTGTGCGGTTCCGCAGGGCCTGTAAAACGGAGCTCTTCCGCCAGGCTTTTGAGTAGGAGCTGCCGCCACCACTATTCCATCACCGCTTCCTCCATCACCACACTTTTACCACCGCTTGAGCGGGTATCATTGGGGGTGTGAGACGTTCCTGGTGGATGACAGTGCTGCTGGGACATATATTGTTGTTGTTCTGGTACAAATATCTCCAGAACCCCATCTTGGATTTCATTATCCCTTTGGAGCACCGATATTTTAGAAATCGTATTACACTGTATTATTATACTGTTTTTTATACTGTTTTATTGTTTTAACCTGGCATTTATGCCTCTCTGTAAGCCGCCCTGAGCCTTCGGGGAGGGCGGGATATAAATTCAAAAATAAATAAATAAATACCATCATTCATCCTTATGAAGAGTCTGAGGAAAATTATATGATTTCTAAGGTGAAACCTAAAACCTCCATGTGAAGCTGTAATGTGCTTCTTGTGATGTACTAAAAACATGCAGATTTTGTTCTGATGTAGCTTGCTCTCAGCTTCAGTCAACCACTGTATAACTGTAGTTCATGTTTAAAGCATTAGCCATTGAACTTGAAGTGTGGAGACAATCAGGAACTTTGCACATGACCAGCCCTGCACCAGGCTATCAGGGGGAATATGCCACATGCCTATGGCTCTCATAAACATTTCTAACTTGCCCATTTTACTTGATCAAGGAATGCGACAAACTGCTGTGCTGAAGTGGTCTCCCCTCCTCTACGCACAGGCACTGCGCCCAGAATTAAGTGAACCTTACATTTTCATGTATAAAATGATACTTCTGCTTTTTAGGGAAATGCGTTGTACAAGTATCATATTTATCAAAAAGAAATACTTTTTAAAAACCTTTTTCACTTTACAAAATGGGTGTGTTGTCTTCCATTTGGATAAAAGGTTGTCATGGTGACCCAGATGATAAACAGAGCCAGGCCCCACCTCTCCAGACAGGCCTTCTGGTCCCATCTATCAGTTGTGACTCTTTCTAGTCACCCTTCCCTCCATGCCAGATGGTAGGCACCAGTGTTTCCCACTAAGCTGAGTTAGTGTGAGCTAGCTCAGGGTTTTTTAGCTTCCAGCTCACAGATTTTTGTCTTAGCTCAGGAAGGAGGGCTCCAGAGCAAATGAATGCCCTTTCGACACACTCCTTTTAAATCCATGTTCACCGCGGTGTCCTCCAATCAATTCTGCACTAAAATCAAGTTCAACCTCCTTTTTATTTTCTCCCCCCCCCCATTCTGCAATACATTACCTCCCTTAAGTGGTCAACTGCTGTTGCCCCGGGTTACTTGGATGCTGTTTTGCAATGGACTTAAACTGCCTCGACTCGAACACTGAGAAAATCTGGAGTGGAGGGAGGGGCTGTGGCTCAGTGGCAGAGCATTTGCTTGGCATGCAGAAGGTCCCAGGTTCAATCCCCGGCATCTCCGGGTAAAAGATCTGGCAGTAGGTGATGTGAAAGACCTCTGCCTGACACCCTGGAGAGCTGCTGCCAGTCTGAGTAGACAATACTGGCTTTGACAGACTAAAGGTCTGATTCAGTATAAGGCAGTTTCATGTGTGTGTTCATGTGGAGTGGCGGGCGAATGCGGAAAGCACCAAATTTATGAAGTAGCCAAATTGCTCGCTCACAACTTTAATGGCAGTAGCTCACAAAGTAGAATTTTTGCTCACAAGACTCCACAGCTTAGAGGGAGCATTGATAGGAACATCCTTTTGTCCCACATCTTTGAGCCACTGTCAGAAGTTGCAGGGGGAAAAGAGAAGAGAGCCCACCACCTAGCTCTCCAGGCTTGAAGCAGCTCAGGGATATGGGTGGTGGGTATCACTCTCTGCCCCCATCTTCTGACAGTAGCCAGAAGGTGGGGAGGCAGAGAGGGGAGAGTGCCCACTATCAGGCAGGTCCTAGGGTTGGAAGCAGTTCTTCTCGCGGCACTTCTTGCAGAAAGGAGAGCAGGGTCACCTTACATTTAGGGTCACCTGTTTTTGACTTTAATCTTGTTTTGATGAAGAGAGGGTCATCTTTCTTTCAGGTAAAGATAGTAATATGTATTTCGGTTTGTGGAACCTATACTGTGTAATTGGACAATTAAACTGTGAACCAAGTTGATCTGCGAAAGAAAAGCTTTTTAGGCTGATGAGCTGTAGTCATGTTAAGACACCCAATGACATTTGCTCCCCTTTCCCAGTCAAGGAAAGTTGCAAAATATTTCCACAGATCTCAGCTCTAAACTACAGAATAACTGAAGAGCTATTTAAGCAACAATCAGCAAGAGTGCGTTAGGAGGACCAAGTATTCTCACCTTTCTTCTGACCAGAGGTTCACTTTCTGCCGAGCAGTCTGCATAGTGTCTGAAAGCCTGTCAGTGCAATCCTGAAACCGCCTTTCGGGTGAGAGCTGCTGTCGGAGTTGCTCCAATTCACGTTCATACATCATCCGCTGTTCCTCCAAAGCACTCCTCTTCTCTTCCAAGTACTGTTTCTCTAAGACCTGGACAACATTTTGTACTGGATCTAGGTAGGCAGAAAATCGCATCTTAGAATTTGTTATCACACCACAGCTATTAATACTGCTTTGTAACAGCTAAATTAGGCTATTTCAAAAACACAGGAAAGTATATAAGTCCAGAGCTACTACAGTGATCTGGAAAACAAACACATGCACAGAGGGTAAGGGAAGGAAGAGTCGATGCATCATTTTCTATTAGAGTTTCATGCAGGGATCATCAACAAAATAAAACAGACTAAGAAGACATATAGTTTGTGGTCTAAATATTTCTGCATTCCTTCCTGCATTTTCAGTGGCCCCAAACAACCATCATCTTACCATCACTGTTCAGTGTTTTCATTATAACTTCCATTTGTGCAAATTCATAGTTATAGTCCGGTTCTGAAGAAGCTTCACTAGCAGCATCCAGATCGTGTTCTGCTAAAAGCGTTTCTTTTTCTGATTCTCTCAACCAATCTCGTCGCTTTCGTTTAGGTAAATTGATTCTGTTTTTAAAAGTCAAGAAGGTATTTCCTAGAGGTCAATGTAATTTTTTTTGCAAGAATAGACTGATTGATTCTATTGAGAAGACTACAAGCTTACTCATAGAAAAAGGAAACTATGCAACAAGCTACAGCCTTAACTGCAGCTCTTCTGCACATCACAATGCGAGCATGTGTGTGTTGCTCCTGAAGCTCTTGGAGCAGTAAGCAACTGCTAGCTGCCACAGTGCCTGGAAGGAGAGGGATAGTCATCCTTTCATGAAGAATGAATCCGTGTGTAATTTATTATGGTGGTATTTCTCCACCAGGGTTTATATGACAATTGGGGGGGGGCAAACCAGATTAAACAAAATGATCCACACTGGAACATTTTACCTGCCATAGTCAGTGTGAGGTCTTTGGTTGCATGTTGCTTGCAAGTTTATTGCTCTCAGTCAGTACACATGCTGATTGCATCAGACTTTAAGTGCAATCAGTCAGCCTTGAACTTCTGATTAGATCAACCTGATTTTTGAGAGGAACTCACATATACAAGCTGTCCCTGATCCACTGATATTACGAGGAAAAATGTCTGAGAAAACTTTGTGTGGGTGGCTTAAAAAACCCAAATGGGCTGAAAAAGTCTACAAGGTCATACATGTCCCATATTAACCAAGGGAATGTACAGTAATTCTGTGCAAGAATAAAAAAATACTATCAACTGAAGAGAGTTTTAAATTAACTACATACATCGGTTATTGTTCTATAAGACAGAGATAAAAACTGCTACCTGAAAAAGTGGTTGTTTCCCCATAAGATTCTGTCTCCGTGCCACAGCTGTGTCGTAGAACATACCAGTGTACCATTTACACAAGATCTGAAAATAAAATGCAAACGCTGATAAAACAAGATCTATAAGAACAATTGCAATCCATCACATGTGTATTCATTCTAATCCATAGAAGCACTTGCTGCTAAAGATAAAGCAGTGACAGCACAAATACAAATCAAAAAGGTAGGATGGAGAAGAGGTGCATACAGAGCTCCTGCAACTATTAATATTGCTTTATAATACTGAAGGCCTAAGGAAAGCTTCAGTGCTTTTTAGTTTACTTGCCATTTCCTTCCAGACTTAGAGCTTCTATAAAGGATGTGGACAGACTGGAGCGGATGGAGAGGAGACCGATGAGGATGATTGGGGGCCTGAATACCAAGCCTTATGAGGAAAGGCTGAGAGACGTAGGAATGTTTAGTCTGAAGAAGAGGAGGTTGAATGGGGGGACATGATTGCTGTCCTTCAGTATTTGAAGGGCTGTCACTTAGAGGAGGGCAGGGAGCTGTTCCTGTTGGCAGCAGAGGATAGGACTCGCAATAATGGGTTTAAGTTATGAGCAGAAAGGTGCCAGCTGGATATTAGGAAAAACTTTTATGCAGTAAGAGTTGTTCAATAGTGGAATCAGCTGCCTCTGGAGGTGGTAAGCTCCCACTCACTGGCAGTCTTTAAGAAGCGGCTGGACAAATACTTGTTAGGGATGCTCTAGGCTGATCCCGCATTGAGCAGGGGGTTGGACTAGATGGCCTGTAAGGACTCTTCCAACTCTGTGATTCTATGATCTTCATACTGCAGACCCTGCAGATTAATTTACTTTGACTTCACTTTTTAAAAATCTTGCCTGTTCACAGGTTCAAGTGAGCATCAGTTAACAGACAATATTTTTGCTGTGTATTCACTGAACTTGAAGAAGAGTGAAGAGGGATTCTTGATTCAGCAATGGGAATCCTCTACTAGGAGAAACTAAGGGAATAACTGATCTAGTTTTACCTCCTCTCCACACAGTAAGCATACCTGGTATGAATGTAAATATCTTGGTTGTTGTCATGAAAACTACAACAGAAGGCTGATTCCTACTGACTAATGATTACTGATGCTATAGCTACAGCTCCTTGCTATAAACAAAGGAAGTACATCTATTTTAGCAATGAAACATACACCGTATATGTTTAAGTAACTGGGTCACAGGATCTTTAAGCAGTCTATTTTTGTTGTTGTTTGTTGTTCAGTCGCACAGTCGAGTCCGACTCTTTGCGACCCCATGGGCCAGCTCACGCCAGGCCTTCCTGTCTTCCGCCGTCCTCTGAAGTTGGCTCAACTTCATGTTCGTTGCATCTATGACACTGTCTAACCATCTCATCCTTTGCCGTCCCCGTCTTCTTTGACCTTCAATCTTTCCCAGCATCAGGGTCTTCTCCAGTGAGTGCTCCCTTCTCATTTGGTGGCTATACAAACCTAATTAAAAATCTCCTTAATGAGACTTGTACATAAGTCACTTCCCCTTTTATAAAAAGTCTTCCAAACCCAGGTTACTTTAACTGAAGGACATTTATCCTACATGTTAGCCATAGCTAATGAATAAAAATGTCTTCATTTCCAGCTTGGGGGGGGGGGGGGATGTAAAATCTGAGTTCATTTCCTCCTAGGGAGAAACAGGGTTTTGACCCCCTCTTAGAAAGGCAAAATTTAAAACATCTGATTACTTAGTGTTCCAAGTATGATATATATATTTAAAAACACACAAAAAGCCTGAGCCACCTGAAGCAGCATTCACCACCATATCACCAAGAGGTTACTTTCTAGCCCCACAAGAGTCAATGATGAAATGACTCATTTATTGTCCACTGTAGCTCTGGTAACATAGTTTGTACCTACTTAAGCATTTTGGACAAAGCCCAAATTAAACAAAGGCTATTCAGTTATCAATTTTTTCCAGCAACACGCTGCTTCATCCTTGCCAGTCAAAATGACAAAATCTTAGTAATGCAATGTTATCATCATGTTGAATACCATCTGTTTCAAATTCTATGTTTTTAATTCATAGCACTGCAATACAAAACAATAAGACACATCTTGCCGATTGGAAAAAATATGCTCATTTATGTATGCTTATCTTATTTTATGTAGTCCCATAACTTGGCACTATTTCTTTAAGTGGTAAAATAGGTAACTTACATTAGAAAGCGATCTTCCTAAAAATATTTTTCTACTAGATTTCTGATTTTGTTTAATATGGCAAAAAAGTTCAGAGAAAGGACTAAAGTACAATTAAAGACAACTAATCAATGAGATTAAACAAGTGCCTGTAACAGCTACCAGGTTAAATGAAACAATTGTCCTGTATTCCACTTATATTATTTAAGTATTTGATTGATGATGAAAAAGAAGGAAAAGATAACTGTTTAGTAAAAAAGGTAAAGGTAAAGGTTCCCTTGCTCGAAAGCCAGTCGACTCCGACTCTAGGGTTGCGGTGCTCATCTCCGTTTCAAAGTCGAAGAGCCAGCGCTGTCCGAAGATGTTTCCGTGGTCATGTGGCCGGCATGACTAAACACCAAGGTACACGGAACGCTGTTACCTTCCCACTAAAGTGGTACCTATTTATCTACTTGCAATTTCTTGTTTTCGAACTGCGAGGCTGGCAGGAGCTGGAACTAGAGACAGGAGCTCACTCCGTCATGCAGCAACTCGGGTCTCGAACTGCTGAACTACCAACCTTCCACAGCCTGCAGTTTAGCGTCTTAACCACTTGAGCCACTGCAGCTCCACTGTTTAGTAGCCACATGCTTAAATAAATTCCTATTGCCATGCCACAGGACAAACAAATTGAACTATTTCAACTATCATGTCTATAAGGAAAGGGGCCACCCCCACTCACACCAAGAGACCTTGGTTATACATTTCATGAACAACCCGAGTCAGGAGGAACCCAAAGACAGAATGAGAGGCTGAATAACATCCATAATATGGTAAGCCTGCTGGTGCTGTGTGACAAACCGGAGGTGGAAGATTGCTTCCCATGAGAATTCTTGGTGGACACTTCAACATTGCTTCCACCCCCCTCCGTTTAAGCACATGCCTAAGCTAGGAGCCTGAAGACTCTCTCCTTGATTACTTAGAAGTCTGTAATACAAAAGGCAACTAATTCTTATATTACTTGGAAATCTGAATTGAATTGTCAAATGATTTTATGTGTCAAGATTTTACGGGGTATTGAGCCCACTGTGCTTACCTTGCATTTTCTTTTGGTGAGAGCGAAACTTCCCCATCTGTTGTAATATCTATCACACAATGTTCTGCTTGGATACCTATTCCGAACAGCTGTATATCCTGAGATGTATCTGCGCCAACCCTGGTGTGATCCTCGTTAAAGATAGATGCAATGAAAATAAGACTTGCTGCATTTATAATTATGCAAAGCCCACCAAAAAGCCTTACGATCCTGGCAGATACAGTCTGTCCTCTTAGGTAGCATTCTAAGTGATATCCCAGAATATGAAAAGTATGACAGGAGTACCAAGACTATGAACGAAATATGTGCTCCTATCACAAAATGAATCTTTCCCAGGTTCTTGCTGCAGACCTCCAAAAACCTGCTCCTGAGAGTTGAGAGACTTTCAGGAACAATGTGAGAAGTGACAGAGGAGGCCACAGCTGAAGATGAAATCCCTGGGGTCCTGCTTTTGCAAGCAAAAATATCTCCAACCCAATGCTTACAGCCAAATAACCTTTGCAAACAAGTAATGTTTTCACTGTTTGTCAGGATTTCAAACAGAAAGCACTGGAACAATCTCTTTGGTTTATCAGAACTGTTTAAGAAAACATCCTTTCTATGCATCCATTATAAGCAAGAATTAAAGGGTATGGGTTAATCATAACTAGGGGGGGGGGAGAATCACAATTTCTCAGTTCCAAAAACTAAATATTACAAACGTATGTTTTTATACCAAAACTTTTTTTAGTATATGTGCTGCCAAAGTGAGCAGAGAAAATTCGGAAGAAAATAGTAGCAGTACCATAGCTTGATTACCAATAGAAGTCTGGATGGGAGAGATGGAATTATTATAATGTTTTATTGTGTCCTAACTTAATTTTTAATTCTTCTGGTTTTAGACGTTTATACAGATGTTATTGTTATATTGTTCTGTCATTGTAACGGCCTATGGCTAAAGGCAATAAACTGAAACCTGAACCTGTGTGAGCCTACCAAAACTTGCTTAGCAAAAAATAAATCTTCAAAGATTTTAATGTCTACGCTTAAGCATAAGATTCTGATTTAGCTAGCAAATTAAAGAAAGAAGCTCCAAAGCAGTTGCAATTAGCTTTGTGAATCTCTTCTTACCTTTAAATAATAAACCAGCAATTCATTGAGTGCAGGGTCTGCATTTAGATTCACCAGATAGCATTTATCTTCCCCAACTTTGATGCCAGAAGATTCAAGGGAAATACCCATGCTTTCTAGCTGCCTTTGTCTCTCCTGCAAAGAACACCGCATATTTTAAACTTGTCAGACACAATTAGCTGGGCAGTATCAAACATGAACATGATGCAAATAATAGCAAAATATACATTAATCTGCACCAGTGCAAGTCATCCCCATGCAGGGTTTTTTGCACACTAGGCGAGGGTACCTTCTGGCGCCCCCCCCCCTGCGCCCTCCAATCTTCAAACATAAATGCATTTTAGGAAATAATGATGATGATAAACATGAGCAATGGCTTTGGTTATGATGTGATATGCCAGGCTTACTTTCTCCCCTCCCTCACAAACATCAAACCCCAACAGCACACTGACTCCAATCTCACTTTAGTGTCAGTTCCTGTCCTCAGATTCACAGAGAAACCCAAACACTCTCATTGGGCAAAGACACGACAATGCCAGGACTCACAGCAGAACCAGAGCTTCCAATTTCAGCACTGGAGCTAGGGATGCCAGCCTCCAGGTAGGACCTGGGGATCCCTGGAATTACAGCTCATTTCCAGTTTACAGAGATCAGTTTCCCTGGGGAAAAAACTGATGTTCTATAGGGTGGACTCTATAGCATTGTGTCCCACTGAGGTCCCTGTCCTCCCCAGACTCCATTCCCAAATCTCCAGGAGTTTCCTAACCTGGACTGTTTCCTAACTTTCAGGAGTTTCCTAACTTTCCTAACCATCCCTCCCCTCATCCCCCAGAGGTGGCCAGGGGGAACCTGGCAACCCTAACTAGGGCTATTTTAGCGAGGGAAGGAGGGGAAAGGTGGAAAGAAAGCAAATAGATGGGGAGAGGGGGGGAGGGGGAGAAGCTTGGAAAAACCTAATAGGTGGGGGGGGAGAAATAGAAGACAGAAAGAAGGGAAGGAAAGAAAGAAAGTCAGGCTGCAAGGGAAGCAGCCTGGAGTGGGGTGGAGCAGCTCCCCAGCCTCTCGTTTCCAGCTCTCACACACCTCAACAGAAAGAGAGAGAGGGACAGAGAGTGCAGCCACACACACACCCACTGGAGAAAGTGAGCCCAGGATTTGCTGTATCCTGGAGCAATGTACTCCCTGCAGCACAAGAGTTCCTGGGGCTCGCTTTCTCCTGGCTGGGTGGGTGGGTGGGTGCAGCCCTGGGCTTCCTCCCACCCCAATCCACCTGAAACAAGCCTCGTTACACCCCGACCAACTTACCCTTCTGGCTGATGGCGGCAGAAGCAGCACCTGCTACCTCCAGCTCCTTCAAGCCTGACTGAGGGCTGCTGGGAACTGGAGGTGGGGCTTAGGCTAGTGTTTAGGCCCCCTGCCTGCCGATCCATTTCCTAAAAATAGCAAACTGGTAATTTTCTTCCATGGATTTTTCTGCAAACTTGGGCTGGTAAAAAAAAAAAACTCCTGTGTGTCCCTGTCCCTGTGTTGCTTTCCTGTCTACCTGGTCTTTATTTTAACGCGGGGCGGGACGGAACTTGTTTTACCTTCGCTTCCTAGGGGAAATTGGAGGGTTTCTGCCACCCTCCCCAAGTAGTAAGAGGTGGGGGGAAGATGAGAAACTTGCTGTGGTTTGGGAAAGGGATGCTGGCCAAAGGCGGCGTCTCCCCACCAAGCTCTGCCTTCCACCTTTTCCTAGCAACTGTTGATGACCAGGCTGTCCATTCTGCGCCAACAGAAAATCAGTTTGCAGGAAGGGAAATGTCGTGGCTTTGGGAAGCAGGCAAATGAAACTAACGCTCTTTCCCCCAATTCCCCTCCTCCGAGAGCTCCTCGGCTCCTGCTCCTCCAAGAGGAGGATGGCTGTGCTTCTGAGCGCACTGAAAGACCCAGCGGCGCGCAGCAGTCACCCACCCGGTCAAGAAAGTTGCAGGGCTTTCTGCAGGGGGGGGGCTTTTGGTGGGGGGGTGCCAGTTTGGCGCCCCTAAGGGCCGGCGCACTCTAGGCGAGCGCCTAGTTCGCCTAATGAGCGAGCCGGCCCTGTCCCCATGCCTACAATGGTGCTAGAATCCAGGCAGTTTGGTGTAGTGGTTAACTGACTAAACTACTTCTGGAACTTATCACAGAGTGGGGAGTATTTAACAATACAATATATGTATGATATAATTGTCCATCTCTATATCTCTAGAGCCAGTTTGGTGTTGTGGTTAAGTTAGTGGACTCTAATCTGGGAGAACCGGGTTTGATTACGGTTCCTTCTCCTCCACTTGCAGCTTCTGGATGACCTTGGGCAAGCCATAGTTCTCTCAGAGCTGTTAACTCAAGAGCAGTTCTCTCAGAGCTGTTAACTCAAGAGCAGTTCTCTCAGAGCTGTTAACTCAAGAGCAGTTCTCTCAGAGCTGTTAACTCAAGAGCAGTTCTCTCAGAGCTGTTAACTCAAGAGCAGTTCTCTCAGAGCTCTCTCAGCCCCGCCTACCTCACAGGGGGTCTGTTGTGGGGAGAGGAAGGGAAAGGCGTTTGTAAGCCGTTCTGAGACTCTGAGTGAAAGACAGGGTATAAATCCAATAAACCGCAGGGGTCCACAATGTAGTGCCCCTGAGCTTCACGGTGCCTGCCAACACCTTTTCTAGCACCCAAGTCCTTTTAGGAAGTGGTCGGATCTAGGTAGGGCTTTTACCCAGCTGGGCTTCTGATTAGCTGTGCAGGTTAAAAGGCATGCTGTTAAACAGAGCTTCTTTCTAGACAGGTTGAAGAAGAACCATTAGAGTATATATAACCTTGCTCCCTGACATTTTGTGGTTGTCTTCACCTCTTGTGGTAGCCATTTATGATTGTGCCCACCACCTTGTGTCAGAATTCCACAGGTGCCCCTAGGCTCAAAAATGTTGGGGTCTCCAGGACTAGCATTTAAAGTCAGCAGTGCACTGCCAGCTTCATTTGAAGCTATGAGAAAAAAATATAATTTTACAGTTTACAACATATTTGTACATTTTAGTTGACCCATATATTTAATTAGTTTTAAACTGTATGGTTGTAACACTAAACTCGTTTTCTCATCTTTCCTTTTATAATAACTGACTGCTAGTTACTACTAGTGCTAATGAAGATGAAACTGATTAATGGTTCTCAAAGTCGTTATATTACGCATTCAAGTCAGGCGTGATTGGCCTTGAATTAAAAACTCCCTTGCAAATTTCACAGACAAAATGTTGAAAAATGCAGAAATTAAGCCTGTCCCCTTCCTAACTTTGAAACTCATCAGCTTTTCTTTAATATCATCATCATGTCGCCCTGTAGCACAAGATCTTCGACACCCATGGGATCTAGTGCGCACGCGCTGGATCGATCGGCATTGTAGCAAGCTCTTTAACGGATTTTCGTGCCCAGTCCCTCGGGCATGTGCAGGAAACCCACCGCGCACGCCCAGAGGGGTGGGCGTGAACATCCTGCCAGTTCCTTTCTTACCACCACGTCGAAAAGACCGCTTTCTTCGTCGGTCTGATCGGTTCACTTGTTTTGGCTTTTTGCCTCATGGCTCTTTGGATTTTTTCCTCAGTTCATTCCTTTTCTTCGTTGTTCTTTCAAAAACTTTTAAAAAACAAAACTTTTTTTTCTGCTGAGGGGGAGGTTGCCGCTTTACCTCAGTCGGGCCTTCGGGCTACCCCCCCCCCTCACCCCTTCTTTCTTCTTCATTTTGGTTTTTATGGAGAAGAAGTGGGGCTTTTTTAATAGGTGCAAGGGTTGTGGTAGTAAACTTGCTCCTCCTGATCATCATACCCTTTGCATACTTTGTCTCGGAGAGTCTCATCGAGCCGAATCTTGTCGCCACTGTGCTCGGTTTTCAAACCAGACCCGAAAAAACTGAGCTGCGCGCCTTAAAGTGGCCCTGCTTGAGTCAGCCCTACATTCTTCCTCAGTGATGGATGCCGAGAAACCATCGACTTCACTGGCTCCGGCATCGAGGCCTGCCTCCGACATCGGCCAACCAACGCCGAAGCCTCCGGCATCGAAGGCGCAATCCTCTGCTTCCACGCCGGTGAAAAATAAGTCCAGGCCAAGTAAGGAGCAAAAGTCTGCAAAGAAGGGGAAATTAGCGGTGGCCGCACTGGGTGATGCCTCTAAAGTGCCTCCCGCTCCGACAGTATCGATACCGGAGGCCCAACCCCCTCCACCAATACCGACCATCCATGTCTTGGACTCCCTTGTCCACCAAATGGAGCATCCTTACTCCAACATCGAAACGGT